CATTCTCCTAAGCCAGGGATGATTGATTTTCATCAACACAAAGCCTTCAGATAATCCAAGCATACTATATTGTCATTCCTCACAGGCTTGCTCACTCTGTCAAGGGGTTAAAAATGGCATTCAGACAACTGTAATCCACATCTAGGATTTTTAAAAGACAAAGAAATTGAACAGGAGCACAAGAGTGGACCAGGACAGCACTTTTTTTTCCTGAAACTCTTTGCCTCTCCTCTGCCAATATCCCAGATCCCTAGGTTAGGGTGAACTAAATTAGCTTATTTTCCTTTGTTTGTTTTTTGGAAGGCTCCTGGAAAATTCTATAGAAACATGGAGGGAAATAGCAATGCAACGATATTCTTCAATGACCATATATATATCTGCCATTTCTCCCTGAGTACTCAGCAAAGCATGCTAAGGGCCTATCTTGCAGGCTACTGGCTATGCTTCTGTGGCAATACATGGCTTTATATGTATTCTTCAATTAATTTGAATACAGAAGTTGGAAAAATCATGGAGGGCCAGGGGAAGAGCTCCTTTTTGTTCTCAAGGAGTCTACTTCGGCAGTTACAAACTGAAATCAAACCATGATTCCCTAATTTTTAGTTTCTCCTGTGCGACAAGGAAAACAGAATGTCGCAATAGGCAAAAGGGTATGTTACAAATGTGTGAGACGATCCTCTAGCTTGTTCTAATGATTAAACCACCCCCTCTAGTAGCAAACTCAGGTGCTGAGTGGCAACAGCTACATTACCAAAATGGGGGCACTGAGAAAGAAGAGGGAAGCATCAACTTGCTCAGGAAATACCAAGGTTTGCAGAAGGTTTCCAAATTTAAAATGGGGGGGAGGATCTAAGGGCGCAGCTCGCCACCCCAACAAAAAAACCCAGTTTAATAAGTAACCAAGGAATGCTGAGTGCCTCCTCCAGTGAGGAATAGAACATAGCCATTGTGAAGTCAAATGTGAGGTAATAATACGGGAAAATAATCTTGTGTGACAGAGTACCACTCCAGGCTCCCCTCACAAAACATGTGGAGGGGGGAGGGAGGACCCACAGGCTCCTCCCTTCTGACCTCTGCTTCTCCTCTGAAAGATGAGTCTATACATATTCAACTGAACATGTGCAGGCTGCCCTTGAGACCCGTTGTCAAAGATGCTGAGGCAAGGAGGGCAAAGAACCTACAGGCACAGCAGTGTTTGGGGTGGGGCCAGAAGAATACATGGTGAGGAATTTGTGAATGGGACTTAAGTTATCAGCATTAAAAAAAACAAAAATCTTAACATGAAAGTAGCCATTACCAGTCTAGACGTTAACAATGCCGCATGCTCTTCTATGATGATGGTAGCATTGACCCGACTCTGTTCTAAATAAGGTTCATGGCAGGACATACTGAAGCCCATCAAGGCACCCTCCTTCTTTACACGCAATGGAGGTTGGCTTGGCAGTAACATCACCCACAAAAGCCAGCACGAGGAGGAGAATGGAGGTCCAAACAGCTGGTGGTAGTAAAACAGCATCTCCTTCCCTTTGCTGATAAGTCATGGCAACAACATGGCAGTTGTTTTTGTTCTGCTTTCGGTTGTCTTCATATTGTTCATTTATTTAATTTGATTGTTCATATTAGCCTTACTATTGCTTTTATTGCATTTTAATAAATTGTTCACTTTGAGTGCCTTTTAACTGAAAAGCAGCATAAGCGTGAATGCTGATTAGTAATCAGCCAATACCTGTTAGAGACTTCTTTCTTTAGGAAGAAATCAATGCGTATATCATATTGGGTGTCAAAATGTAAGAGTGCTATTTAACACTTTTTTCATCTATAGGCCTGAATGGTGCTATAGAAATCTCATGTTTATGTTCTTTTGCTTTGCCTGGAATGATTCAGAAGTCATACATAAAAGGACTCTGCTGCTTGAAAGCATGAAACTTTTGATATATAAGCCATGAGGTAAGGTCTCTGTGATTGGATATGTCATGGCAAGCTTTTGAGGATAACAGAATCTCTGCATTTATTTATATTCATAGACAATAACCCCCAGACCTTAGGTTAAAGGTTTTCTCCAAAATATGCTCAAGTATTTTGGAAGAAACATTTAAAGGATAGCCCCAAAATCACATTTTGTACCCAACTGGCATAAGCGTTTGGGGCACTAACTTTCAATTTCTGCCTGGAAAAGAGCCACGTTTTGAAATAATTTCCAAGAACATCAAGGAAGAAATGAAAAATATTGCAAAATGTGCAGAACATGCATAGAAAGAATTCCCCTTTCCTTCTAAATTTTGCTTGGGGGGAAAGTAGCTCCTAAAGACTCAAGGCTTGGTCTTTTGACTGCAAATACCCCCAAATTCCCTCAGTTGTGCCTCCTGATATAAACCATGAAACCATAAAGACAATGAAGTCATTAGAGTATAGTTGCTAGGTCAAGATATCCCCTTCCCCCATGTCCTTTTCTTCCAGGGACAATATTCACAGTACCTTACCCCATTTTCACTTCATATAAAGTAGACGGAGAAAAATAAGAATCAGGCTCAAATTCTGATTAAAACTGGGAGGTTATCACAGTATGTCCAGAACAAATGCCTACAGCCTATTAAAAAAAACTATGGCACTCCTTGACACAAGGAAAGTGTTCTGGCAAGAATTTATCGATTTCCAAAGATGGATTAGATGACAGTGGAAAATCATTTCAGACATTGCCAGCTGATTATGCCAAACTCTGCTTCCACCTGCTACCATTTTGTGCTCACTATTTCACTGCACTACCATTTTGTGACTGGTGTGCCTCTGCAGTGTTCAGCCATCTTAACTTGACCCTCTCAAGACTACATAACTTAAGTAATCAACGGGGAATAAAGGCAGGGGGTGGCAGACAGAAAGAGAACCGAAATCCAACCAGCTACTCAGACAAGCTTTATCCAAGCAGACAACAGAGGTGGTACCAATATACCAGCTTCACACAAACATATGGATTATGACCTTTAATGATCCAAAATGGCCCAATAAATTTTGGCTACCTAAAAGTGTGAATTTAAAGCATGAGTGGTCAAACAAGGTTACAGGGAGTGTAAGATTTCTGTTCTTTAAGCAACAGAGATGCTACAGGCATAGGGAATGTATTTTTTTAAGATATAGGACTGGCCATGATGACCTGTATTTTGCTTTCCATATGCATCTAAATGCATGAAAAATAAATGTGGAAACAAGGTGTGTGTGAGAGATAGAGACACCGATTTCTGCCCTGGGCCAACACTGAAGAAAAAGGCTGGTGCCAGTTTTTCTAACAGCAAGACAGCCATTCCCTACCCACAAGTCCTCCCCCCTCCCCCACAAATCAATGGTTACTATAGCTGCATGTGTATAATTAGCCTGTGTAGATCAAACAGAGTGGAAAAAAATTAAGAAAGGTATGTGTGTAACGTGGTGCTGTTGTTGTGGCAAGATCAAAACACAGGAGAAGCTTCCTGTACTTGCACTGTGGCACAAAGGTGTGCACATGTTCGCCCTTCCTTCTTGCCCTCACTCCAGATGCTTCGAGTACAGTGGTACCTCTAGTTGCAGACTTAATCCGTTTCAGGGTGCCGTTCGCACCCCGAAAAGTCCGCAACTAGAGCACTTCTTCCACGCATGTGTGCGGCGCGATCGAGCGCTTTTGTGCATGCATGAAGCGTGCAGATCACTTCTGCGCGTGGCGAACCCGGAAGTAAACACTTTTGGGTTTGCCGCGTTCATAAGCTGAAAGTCCGTAACAAGAGCGGAATGCAACCAGAAGTACCACTGTACTTGGGTCACGTAAAATGTAGTAATTTCTAATGTGGCTATTGCAGCAAAGCGATTTTTTTCTGGGCGAAGGGGAGCAGATACAGCTCCTTGCCAAGGTACAAGGAACACCTCTGGTCAGAAGTAGATCAAATGTGTTATTATTCCTGGCCAAAGGTTATTCTCCAACATGTGTTATTTTGGATAAAGCTGTGGAAATATTTGAAAAATCATTTAACAATTGCCCATTTTTAAAGCTGAAACTTTCTTGGGGAATAGCTTTCCCTTTACTGTTTTCAGGATATTTTCAGCGAGCCATTTTCAATAACTACCAGAGAATAATTGAAATTACATGTTACAGCTGTTTCCTTTATTTCATGTGCTCAGGAGGGATCTCTAGAAAATACTGGCGACTGGTGAAAATACACATTGTAAACCAAGTGATGGTAGGGCTAACCTCCAACAGTGGAAATTAATCAAAGTTCAGAGGCCACAGAGCTGTCCAGTTCAATCCCTAACATCTATATCTAAAACAATCAGGTGGTATAAAAGGCGTATTGCTGTGATCTACAAGACTGTGGCTGCTTCTTGCAGTCTTCACTCAATCTGATAGAGGTCTGTTACCTTCTAGGCTTTCTTGATTTCTGCCTTTGCAAAGTGCTTCCTATCATAATTCCTTTAGTCTTTCATGTTCTTGTTTAATAAAAGATTTTTGCTTTCACTGAAAAGACTGGATGCTTTTGCAGGGCTCTGATTAGGCTTCCTTAGGATATATGTCTCGACATGAGTTTATATAGCCTCAATCTTATGGGTAATATTCAATAAACAATTCCTTACACATATCCCTCATGTTTGATGAACACAAACATGTGTTTTACCATATACATGTAGAGTTATGTATTGTGTCACACACAGCAAGATACAAACATGCACAAAGGACAATCATGACATGCAAAGCAGTTCTGATGTGCAGTTTACTTCCTCTAAATATTTGAAGGATCTCTTGTTCAAAGATTCACTAAAATGGCTCACAGTAATGTTTAATTTCACCCTATATAATTAACTTTATTCTACTGTGTTTCTATGCTGCTTTCCAAAGCTCAGCTAGTTTCCAAAAGTTCTCGGTGACAAAAATTCTTAAGGGTTATTTTAGTGACTGTTTTGCTACTTGCACATTCAGTTCTTTGGACCATTCTGCATAAACAGTCATGTAATAAGGAAACAAAACTCAAGACACATATCACTTGTACAGAACAGAATTCTATTTAATCTTGATCACATACTATGAAAAATTACACACCAATGAGCACAAACAACAAAATTCGTGTTCCTCCAAATACTTCCCCATCTGACACATCAACCACAATTATTTAACACTGAAAATACTGCACTGTGGAGTGGCGATAAAAAGCCCAACCAATGAATGATGTCTGGCATTCTGATGCACAGAGCTCACATGCATGCAAGCACATCGTCATTCACTTAAACTGGTTGACAAAGGTTTCTCCTCTAAAAGGAGACACCCAGTTACATAGCTCTGGAATGGAGGCAGCTATTTTTCCAAGGAGTGCAGTGGTTCTGAATTCAGCTGATATTTACTAATTTGCTTGTCTGCAACTTTGTGAAGCAGAACAGGCGATTTCAAATAAACACTTGTTGCATGATGAACACTTCAAAACTTGGGGGCAGCTTAAACAGCATGTAGAGCAATAAATTACCAAGACCCTTACTACCTTGGCTTGTCAAGGTATTGAAAGAGTATGGCAACAGCTGGATTACCATCTGGATGGAAGATACATTATAATTTCTTCATCCTGTGATCACTGTCATGCTGTAAGTTTATAAGCAGTCAGTAATGAACCAATGCATCTGAACGCAAACTAAGTATTTCAGGAAATGTATCCTTTGTTAAAAGTAAGAACCCAATCATCCCCCCAAACAAAAAAATCATATTGTGTGTGTATGTGTGTATAGACAGACACACAAAACAAAATTCCATCTGTCACAGACAGTCAACCATAAACCATAGGTAAGCTTGCCCAATTTGGTTGTGTCCTGCACACTTTTAAACATAAAAATATAAAATAGCTGTCACTTTGGATGCTAGATCACTTCAATTGTGTTTTTGTGGCCTTCTTTTACTGCTGCTTTTCAAAGGCAAAAATCAAATATATACCTGGAAAAAAATGGAAAAAGAAAGCATTAACCTCCTGTTTCAAAGATTTCTGTTCATAAACAACCAAATCTGACAACATATAACCATCTAATAGAGCTTAGAGCAAGGGTTGCCAATCTGAGGCCACTGGTGCTAGGGCCTTGAGTTCCAGTGGTGCTCCTGGGCTTTGGATTGCTCCCAATCTGACCCATTCCACCAACCTCACTCAGATACAGCCTATCAACTGATGCAAGGGCCTTGCACATTCAGGTGGTTGGGCGGGGGTTTAAATCCTAATTAAACATTCAGTTGGGAGGGGGAAAGAAGACACATGCAGGATGCCTGCAGTTCTCCTTCTCCCGTCTCTCTCCTTACTGCCAAGACCACTTCACTTTAGGTGGACCTGATCCAACTCGGAATGATTTGGGGCTGCCCCAAACGTGATCCAGCCGAATTCTGGGTCAACCCAATTTGGTTCGGTATTTGGCCAGACACAGGGCACGGCTCTGTTTATAAGAGCTCTGACAGCTATTATGAGCATCCAAAACCAAAAGGCAAGCAAAAAAATTATAGCACCAAAGCTGTCTGGCTATACGTAATAGAAAAAATACTGGCCTGGTTCACACACCATGGTAAGCCAAATCACCAAACTGCAGATTCCCAGAGAGGAAGTTGTAGTCACTCCAACACCTGTCTGGTCCTTTGTGCTCCCATAGCAGCTAAACCAACATTTGGCTTACCATGTCATCTGAACTGGGGCTTGTGGTTAAACTCTAGCCTCGCTTACCACAAGCTCTACAGCCAAGAACAAATCTTGGTTACCTAACAATTTTGCTACTAAATTTACTTTGTGATGTACTTGAGCTGAATGAAGTTGTGATCTAGAGGCATTTTTACATAGCAGCTATGTATCGCCCGTTTTTCCTGAAAACTCTGTACTTAGCAGATACCCTCATAAAAAGGTCCTGCTGGAGAAATTCTTACATTTTAAAAACAAACTAGCCTGACAGCTATAGAACAGGTTTGGGGGAATAAAATACAATACTGAACTATTATAGTAATATTTAAACATCAGTTATAGTACGTACTTGTTGCCTCCCATTCAGATTTACTCAGGGTTCCCTTGAAAGAAAGAAAATGTCACATTTACAGACAGCAAATTATTGTATACATTTTAAGCAATTAGCAGGAATCTCTCTCTCTCTCTCTCCAGGGACAAACTGTTCCTTCCTGCTGCAATATTTTAAGGCTTCAGATATCAATAATAGTTTCAGATTTCAGAAAGCCAAAACATGCGCCACTATACTTCAGTATTCTCAATGAAAGGGAAAGATCTGTTAGCACATTTAGAAGGTGATCAACCAGTGAGTTGAAGTATCTCACTGTAAAGGGGCAGGTTTATTATGTACTTAGCTATGCCTGATTGCACATTCAGGGAAGGAGACACATGAGTTTTTGTAATCAAGCAGTTTCTCTTTTATTTTAAGGATGCAAATGACTTGCATTAGTATGTGGTGGGCAGGCTGTCTAGTAAAGTTATATGTTAATAGCTTTTATAGATTAATTTGCAAAGCTGATACTATACGATTTTGAGCACCATAGATTATGACTATCTCTTCAGAAATAAGTCTGCTGTAATTGCCAAAGTTCAGATGCCAAACAAAAGGGAATATAGCACATTTCCTTCTCCTTTCAAGGCTGAAAACTTTCAAAGCAACAATGAGAGGACACTTCCTGCACAGGCCTCCCTGCAGCTGCTCTAATGCCCAGAGAGACTAGTACTCAAGCGCATTAGAACGGCAATAGAAGTTTCATAATTCTGCAGAAACAAAAGAACAGAAATCCAGCAGCACCATTGGTGGCCAGCATTTGTCACTACTTCTTGCTTCACAATGGCGCTATCAGGAAGGTATGCTCTTTTCCACTTAGCACATGGCCATCAATGATTTTCAGGGCACTATCCTGAGTTTTTCAGTTCCATGGACCCAACCCAACATGCATAAGCTTTGCCAAGTGTTGAAACACAGAAGGCAAAGAGTGGGCTGCAAAGCAGCCTGATCTGCTCCAGAGACTGGATACTTGATACTTACAAGGGGTAACTTGGCTTTCCCACCATTCTTCAGCATTTCTGCATGCTCATAGTCCTCTTTTTTATTTGAGACCAGCCTGGAACTTTCATCAGCAGGGTATTTCTGAAAAAAACAGATTATACAGATGTCTGTACTGATGCCTACTTTGCCCTTGAGCTAACAATGACAAAGAAATGAGGTACTTATACCCAGTCATAATAGCTCCAACTGTAAGCCCCCAAATACTATTTAGTAGTTGACCCAATGAAAGATGTATTCTGTGTCACCAACACTGTCACCTTGCATTCCACATTTATAGCTCTGATTTATTGTATGATGAAACTCATAGGGTCCTAAGCATGCTCCATGCAATGGCCTGATCCAGACCTGCTTAGCTTCTGAAACGAGTGTCCTCAGACCACAGCCTGGGATGTGTAAGACACAGATTCATACAAATCATCTAGTTCACAGCGAAAGAATCACTGATGGATGGCCATCCAACATCTGTTTAAAAACCTCGGCAGCTCATTCTACTAGAGTGTTCTTCCTAATGTTTAGTCAGAAATTTTCTTTCTTGTAATTTTAATCCATTGGTTCTGGTCCTACCCACTGGAGCAGTAGAAAACAAGCTTTCTCTATCTTCCATTTAGATACAGTGAAACCTCGGTTTTCAAATGTAATCCATTCCGGAAGACCGTTCGACTTCCGAAACATTCAAAAACCAAGGCACAAAGGGCAGTCTGCAAATTTAAAGAGAAAATTGAGTAAAATACAGTGGTACCTCAGTGGAAGCTGCTCAACTTCCGAGGTGCGTTTGAAAACAGAAGCATTTACTTTCGGGTTTTTGGCGTTCAAAAACTGAACCGTTCGATTTCCAAGACGTTCGAAAACTGAGGTACCACTGAATTTGAAGATAGCTATCATATAATCTCTTAGTAACATGCCCAACACTTGTAGCAATACAAGATCCTTTAGATTTCTAATGATCATGATTTAATTATTGTTATTTATTGCAGAAGTAGGCCATTAGCACTACAATGAACCGAAAGTTTTGAAATGGAGGAATTCAAAGTACAGTACATTAACTTGGAATTATGTTCTACAGATTATCAAAAAGACACTTCCAAGTGAGCATGTTTATAATAAATGAGAAATGTAACTGCAGTGTAATTGTCTGCACACTGATTGTACATTGACAGAACACACCAAGATATGATGGTACGTGAAATAAAGCATACCTAACACAATCCCATTCAAATGCAATGTAAGATGGATAACTAGTATAGCCTAAGTAAACATATAAATTAACTTGTCTTAGAATTACTGCACAGTGTTTATCAAAAAGCAATGCAACAATTGACAAGGCTGACAATTAGAACAAATCTGTCTATATGCATTTGAAAACTAACCTCCAATGCCAGCATTTGCTGCAAAAGAATTTTATGTTCTTCATTCTTAACCTTTTCTTCGTAAAACTCCCGGAAAGTCTTTTTGTAGACTAGTTTCATGCCATACTTCTTGGCCATTCTAGGAAAAATAAATTTTGTTAGAAATATAAATGCTTAATTAGCACAAAACACAAATTATGAGTGATCATCAAAGCATCATTCAAATTTCCAAAAACTACTTCTGTGTCACAATACAAGATCATAAGAAACATTGCAACTCATCTAAATTCACCACTACTTAATGTGAACATGTTTTTTTTAAAAAAACTAGTAACAGTACTGTACATTTAAAATACGTATGTATTATCATATATACATACACAGTACAGCATGCATACACCTACTGATGCCCAACTATAACAGCAACCACACCCTGGAACTGCAGCTCAGGGGGTTAGATATTCAATATTATAAGTTAGTTATGAAATGCTTAGGCATTAGCACCAATGCATACTTATATAGATCATGTCCTTGAAGTACAATGTGGACTGTGGCAATGTATCCAAGCTATGGATACACTTTTAATAGGTTCAGGTGTGCCTTAGTAAACACAGACCAGAAAACAACCATTATAGTGGAAATAATAAGCAGGGGAGAAGAGGGAACCTGGCACAGAAAGGAAGCAAAACAGCTATGCAGTATAGAAGACAAAACTGGATACCATGGCCCTGTAGAACCAAGTATCATGGCTTTAACAAGATGCCAAGAAAAAGGAAGGCGGTTAAAAGGGAGGGCATGTCAGATTTTGTTCAAATATCTAGGATATGATGGACCAACCTCCAAATTACCACATTTTAGCTCAAGTGGCTAAAAGCTGACATAGCACTCCTCTAGCAACCATTTTTCATTTACACACACACACAATAAAAGGTAAAACATAAAAACTTACTCTACCAGCAATGGAAAATAGACCAGGAACTCTGGCACATTAACCACTCCTTCCAGGTTAAAATCATACTTGCAGCCAAACAGGGGGTAATCTCCTTTCTTCTGAAACTTCACTGTGTATATTTCATTCCCAAAAGAGTCTGTTTCTGAAGCTTCAAGGCGCTTTCTATGACAGCATAATAAAAGTCGACATGGAATTAAAAACCCACAAAACCGTCTAACTCTTTTGTTGAAACATAACACAACAGTATGGGCCTGTTTACATATCTCTAACCTCACTAATGAAGTCAGATACAGTAAAACAATGATAAAATCCTATCCCAGGACTATTTAGAGCAATATATTAACTTCCTGTATATAATATAACTTCAGTAATATGTATCTCCCTGATTCATTTTTATGAATTTAAATAACTGGAAAAAAAGATTAACCAAATATTTGGGCCAGTCAGATAATCTTGCTTTTAACTGCACCAGTGAGGTTGCTGGCCTTCTTCAGCTGACTTATGATAATACAGTGGTACCTTGGGTTACATACGCTTCAGGTTACAGACTCCGCTAACCCAGAAATAGTACCTTGGGTTAAGAACTTTACTTCAGGATGAGAACAGAAATCATGCTCCTCCGGCGGCGCAGCAGCAGGAGGCCCCATTAGCTAAAGTGATGCTTCAGGTTAAGAACAGTTTCAGGTTAAGAACGGACCTCCAGAACGAATTAAGTACGTAACCAGAGGTACAACTGGCCAATATTTATGGCAGACCAAGATACTCTGCCCTGCCTTCCAGAATGCACATCTAGCTAAACTGCATATATCTGGACTAGGTAGTCAGGGGCCTTTGCATTTGCTGGCAAGTGAATTATTAGATAGTAGAATAAAATCTCCAGACTTATTGCAGACAAAAGATGGAAATTCAAGGAGAGGGCCTGGAATTTTCTTGAGGACGCCAGACTTTCTTTGTGGCTACAGTCTGGCAAAACCTATGGAGAAAGTTTATTCCTTTTCATGTCCTAACTGTTGTATTTTGAGGCAGGTGTGGGATGGAAAGTGTGGAAAAACTGCAGACAACAGACCTAACAAACACTTGCAGGTGTATAAGGTGGGTGACTGTGCTATTCTAATGTATCAGTACATTAGTTCTTCCAAGAGTCCTCAACAAGCTTACATGTGTAAATATGCTACACGAAGTCTAAAAAGTATCCACCCCCAATTATTATCTAAAAACATCATTCATACATACTTACACAAGTTCATAGCTATCTGGAGTTGTGCCAATAAAATATCCTCCATGGCAAAGTCTTTCACAGGCATTTCTAAGCATCATATCAGCTTGTTCATATGTCTCAAAAGAATAATGATACACAAATTGACAACTGCAAATGTCAAAGTGGATGTTTCGATCATTGTACTTTTTGGAGAGAAGTTCCTAAGACAAACAGAAGAGAATTGTTTATTTTTGCTGTTAGGAAAAAATTGGGACGGGAAAACAATTGCATTGTTCCAGTACGCTTACCACAAAAACACAGTTTTTTAATCTAGGAGGCACAAACCTAAAGTCGTCTGATTATTTTTCTGCTCTTTTCAACTGACTACCTGCAAGTTAAATCACCGCAACCCATTATATTTTCCTATCTCCAATGTTAGGAACTAAAAACTAAAACTAAAAGTATTTCTTGCTGGAAAGAAAACACCAATATTGGAGATAAATTATTTTTAGGCAAAAATCTGCACTACAGCACATAAAAGAATAGTTACACTAACTTATTTAGAGTTCCTGATAAAGTGACCCTATCAAAGAAGTAATACTTTCATGCAGACCTTGTCTTTTAACTATGCAATCATGTAGAAAATAATGCAATGGCTGGTTTACTTCTGCACATTTGTTTTCTAACCTTTCCCTTCATTTACATTTTAGACACCCACCATTAATTTTAAAAAACATGGAATAACTATACCTTTGTGCTGTCAGCAGTTATAAATTCTGCACTAAATATTCTCTCATTTTGACGACCACGGTTTTTCATATCATAGTACCGCGATTCACACTGTTGTACGGAAACATCAGCAATATCTATTTTTAAAAAACGCATAATCAAAAAACTCTTCAGAAAGCTGTAAAGCAGGAGAAGGCAAGTATATAATTGAAGGCTAAAAGTATTTTATTTGGCAACTGCTTATCACAACTACTCAGAGATCTGCATAGGGTATGCTAAAAAATCACTGTACAGAACCAAAACACTTAGGAAGCAAAGAAAAGCATTTGCACCTTATGTGCAAAAAGATTTCATAATTTAATATTAAATATTTACATGAGGAAGAGATGTGTATTTTTCTTAAAACTAGAGCTGTGTCACATTCTTGGCTTAACTCAAAAGTTTTTAATTTAAAAAAAAATGATTTAGTACACTACTTTTTGTAACATGACAACTTTCAATTTGAATTCTTAATGCTGTGAAGAAAATGACTATCAGTAATTTTATTCTGACCATAAAAAACTTTTTAAGAATGCTTACCTAACACAACTATTTACACGTTTTTGAAAACAAAAAAGAGGCTGTGCTGCCATCTCTAGGTCAATACTGGGATTGCTTTTTACCATTTATTGTTAGTGAGCTAAAGGAAGTAACCATGTCAGCTATACTAAGCAGGCAGTGAATACAAATATAAGGGGTGACAGCCTTGGAAAACCCTAATTTAGACTTTTGAATAGCTGCAGAAAAGTATTCCTGAAAGCAATAAACAACCATATCTGAACAAAAGAGTTGAAAACCACTCTTAACACTGCAACCTCGTCTTTCAGAATTAAAGAACTCTCAGCAAGCTATTTGAGTAGATGCCTTCACAGATAAAGTTTTACATTAAATCTGAAGACAACCCCAGGAGCCATCTCAATTAAGTAATTTGCAGAGTGAATTTTTACTAAAAATAGCGCTTGCCATACCACAGGATATAATAATTGTAAAATACCTGAACTTAAAAAGGACAAGCAGCTCAAGCCAAAACAATGAAGAATTCAAGCTGCAATCACATTAAATGAAATAGCAACTTCCAAAGGTCAAGCCATGAAATGCGTATCTAGCATAGAGACAGAGCAAATTGGTAAGGGATGGAGGGGACATTCTGTTTGTTATTGTTTCTGTATAACTTTTTGTAACTTGCTATGAAAATACAGTACTGGAATGCTAACAGCTAAATTAAAGACAATTGCAGAGTTTTTCAACGTAAGCAGATGACATATGATATATCATATACCATATATGGCATCAACGCTGAACATGTGGCCCTCCATATGCTATTGAACTACAATTTCCATCATCCTATGCTGATTAGGCCTAATTGGAAATGCATATCTAATATTCTTAGGGCAACAGGTTGGCAAAGCCTGGCTAATGGCATTGCAGACCAGTTCTGCTAAATAGTTGGAACTGAAATAACAGTTTATGCATTTCCAAATATTAAGTGATTCAGTGTTTAAATCAAGTTCCTTGTGAAGAAGATACAGAACAAAATGAAACTGCCAAACCCTTAAGATAATCCACGAAGTCCCTGTTCCATGTATCCTTACCATGGCAAGGCTGGTAGGTTCAGGCAAGCAGAAGGACTCTTCTATGGAGGTACCCATATACCGGAAGAAACTTGGCTTCCAATGTGAATTTTTAGTTGCTAAAAAATTGAGTTTTATGAATAATAAACCCATATCAAATTTGCCTTCTTACCTGTACACACAAGCCTACTAATTCTGCCTTTTCTCCATTTTAGCAAGTCCCCACCTTTGCCACATCCCAAGTCTAAAACTGCAATGCTTTGCTTTCTTTGCCGCACCCTCTCAAGGAATTCACCTAGGAAAGAAAAGACACATAAAATCTTTAGCATAAATAAAAAAATACATCTATTGTGCATTTCCTTTTGTAATTCTGGGAGTTTTACCATCTCATGAGTAACTTAAACAAAAAGTTGCACTCCACTAAAAGCAAAGGAAATTCATTTGTCTGAGATAAATTTAAAATGTAAGCATGGAAAAGGCATTTACAATACTATCCTATGCATGCCTATTCAGAAATAAGTTCTGCTGAATTCACTGGAACTTATTCCCAGGTAAATGTATAGGTTTGGCATCTATTTTTTGTTATCTCTTAAAGAAAAAATATTGTAGTTTAGCTCACAATAATTTTGCAATTACAAGTTCATAGCACTTAAAACTGAGAGCCAGAGACCCCAATAGATGTAGGAAATACATATCTAAATATAGTGTAATTATTTTATTTATTACTACATTCATATGCCATCTCAAGGTGACAGCCACGGTTTTCTTCATTTTATCCTAACAACACTGTGAGGCAGGTTAAGCTTAGAGAAAGTGACTAGCTCAATATCATCCAGTAAACTCCAGGCCCTAGTCCAACACTCAATCATAGAATTCACTCAAATCACTCAAACAATAAATTAGTATTACATTAAGGAGCACTGTACAGAGTAAACGTGTTAACATTATAATGGTTCTTTTGCTTTAGATATTAGGTTTCATATTTGGGATTCAAAAATCAAGTGCAAGATCTGACCCACCATACCTAACTGTACTAATGTAGATTTTTCTTCAATCCCAACAAAGTAGCATCTGAAAATATGAATACACTAGAAATATATATATTTCAAAATATATAGCCATACCAATGAGCACACTCTTTATCCAGTTGTTAAAATTCCGAAGATAGAAAATGCGACTCATACTACGCTGTTCCAATCCAACTTCTTCAAGCTTATTATAATGTGCTGCTACAGTTTCAGTATGCTGCACAAGAACATCAAATAAAAGATAAAGTGAAAAATATGAGGCTTTATATGCATTCATTTGCTACTTAGTGGTAGCATTATGTGCTATGAACAGCACATTATGCACTATGAACAGTACAAAAAAATAAGCTTTATGCAAACATAAAACACCACCACCACTGATTTGTAGGTAGAGTATCTGGTTTTGATGTAGAAATCTAGAATGAAATCACTTGGTAAATAAGAACGTTACTAGATGATCAACAAATTATTGTACTTAAAAAACCTTAGAAATACTGTAACTTAAATAATAGCATGTCTCATGCAACTAATTAGATTACCTTGAACTCTGTCCAGCTTTTTCCAGCTTCCTACCCCACCCAGAAGGATTTTTTTTTAGGAATAAACATATAAAAGTACTGTTTCATACAAAATTCCTAAGATTAAACAGCACATAGGGCGAGATCCAATGTAGCACAAGCAGGAGTTGACCTATGCAGTGAAACTTTTCCTTTCACCCACTTCCTGCTGGGTGCGCTCCCAAAATCTGCTCCCAAGGGTTGGAGGAACCTTTCCAAAATCTGTTTTAGAACTTGTAGATACCCAGCTGGAGAACCAAGAAGAGAAACTGCAAGTCCAATCATGCAAGCAAGCAGTCTTAACAGGAGATCATCCATATGTTCAGTCTGCATGCTATTAAGACAAATTTAATGATTTATTGTGAACATAAAGATTGCTCCTGCTTTACTCTCCATCCGTGTGATCAAAGAATTATGAATCCTTGGTTTAGCATTACAACCTATCAAACCTTAGCTTCACATGCAATCCATACAGCAAGAATAAGATAGTCAGCTCAGATGTAATGCTAAGTCGGGAGTCACAATTTGTTTCTTGTACCAGGAAGAGCCAAGCAGGAGCCATTTGACTTTGTTTTGTCATGACACATGAATGCAAACAAAGACGAAGTCTGTAGGAAGCCTGTGACCCATTAGATGATGTTGGACTCCAACTCCCTTCAGCCCCAAGCATAGCCAATAAGGGACTATGGAAACTGTAGTCCAAAAACATCCAGAGGAATAAGGAAACACATCCCTGGATTAAGGAAATAAAGAGTAGCTATTTTTTTTCCTATTAGTGCTGCTACAGTTCAAGAATAAAGACTGAACTGCTATGGAAACACTTACTCTTTTCTTTGTTGGGCTTTGGTCAAGATCAGGATCCCCTCTTCTTTTTCTTGCTCTCCTGCTGTCCACAGCACTGACATCTCCCTTTTCAGTTGTGTCACAATATTCTTTATTTATTGCTGCTTTATTTTCTTCCACCGTGACAGCAGGCTTTATCTCTAGGTCTGGGGAAGCATCTCTCTTTGCTTCTTCAACCAAGTTCTTTCCAGCTTCTGGAACCCCCAAACTGGCTGTGTCAGCAACACTAGCCTGTGGAAAGAGAGTCATGTTGGTATGTAAGAAAAATTCCTTAGTTCAATCTGTATATATAGTTGATGACCTTGATCAATGTGTGTTACAACTAAACAGACATTTTCTGCCTACAGTGCACAAATGCTTAAAAGAGAAAAATGCTTCAAAATTGCTGTTTGAAACACTCACCATTTTATCTGCAGGAACCTCTTCAGATTCAGATTCAAATTTCATCTTTTTCAGTCTTTTGTCATCAAGAGCACTCCCATCTCCCTTATCTTCATCACATGTACTAGAAGTTTTACCATCATTTGCTATGATAGAGGAATCAGCCTTTGAGTCCTTAGCAGTTGCGCTATCAGCTTCTTCAAATTTCTTTCTTTTTTTCTTTCCGCTGTCTAGTAACTCAGCCATGCTTCCAATAAATATTATTGTGTTATAAATATCTGCAAACAGAAAGTTATATTTTTTCTGTTGTAAGACAAGTCTTCAGACCCCCCACTCTGTTATAATTGATATAATTGATAAACCGGATGTGGTCAAGGTTTTACACTGAATGTTAAATGGAGTTCTTGTTATGTTTAAAATTGGAATGCTAAAACGTGCTCATTTGTGCCTAACTTGATTTTGAATCCCAAGATGTTTAAATCTTTTTATATATATATATAAAAATCATTTGTGTATTGAGCCTCTTTGTCGAAAGACAAAGACTCAAGACAAAGACAAAGGCAAAGTTGAAAAACAAAGACTCAAGGTGGCATTTACATTTTCCATGAGAAAACTAAAATAGTTGATGGAAATATCTACTGTACTTAAAGCATCTATCTCAGCAATCCAAACTTCTTCCCACAAAGCCCTTGGCCAAGACAAACAGGCTGTTTAGCAATACGTATTATTATGCTCTCTTGTGTATTTTGCTATCTTCCAATATGGTCTATTCCATTACTGTGTCCCCCACCTAGTATTATTGTGACCACTGGGCAGCTGGGGGAGGTTGACCATAACTTCCATACAAACTCCTATTTATTAATTTTTGTATGCCTGCAAACTTGGGGGTTCCCTGAGGCTGCTCATCTCTTTTTGTTTCGGTGGTCCGTTTTGTCTACAATCCCGCGAGCGCCCCTCAGTTGAGTTTGCCATGAAAGGGAACGACCACCTCCACACCCCAAACAATGCCATGCACGCCTACTCGAAAAGGGCGGGGGGGGAGGCCCGCTGTGCTCAAGGAGATAACTCCCAGCAAAAATCACGTTCAGACTGAAGACTGCCTAAGTTTCCTGGGAACCAGGCCAAAGCAGAAGTAAGCAGCCCTTCACTTCGCTCTGAACCGAGGGTTAGAAACCGCAGCTCCGGAGCGCACTGTGAGCGCGAGCAAAAACTACGGGCCCCGCAACGCAGGGCTGTCGGGCCCAACAGCTACAGGCGCTCCCTTCGCGGGTCCCATTGCGTGGAAACCTCCCGCCCCCGATTCCAGAGGCCTCTCACACACCAGGATGAAGGGAGAGGCGAGAAAGAGGCCCGTTATTATTATTCAAATAGCCACAACTCTTCCCCTCCCCCACCACCGACCGTTTCTCCTGTAAGGCCTCAGAAAAACGAAGCGGTGCGAGGAGGCGGCGACGGCGTAGGCCCAAACTTACGCCCGGCACAGCGCGCCTAACTCTGCCCGGCCACGAGGACGCCGCCGACGCCTCTCCGCCCCGAACCTCAGACCCTGCGAGCGGCCCCGCTGCGCAGCCACCTTCCTCACCCGCCAAAGTTGAGTTTTTCTACCGTCCCGCTCTCAGGAAACGAGGCGCAGTTTTGCATCCGGGTCACCCACGCGCGCCTTCCTCCTCCTCCTCCGAAAGAAGCGGGCGGGCGCGCCTACTTGGGCGTACGTGCCAAGCGTGCCTCCCTTTCCCTTTCCACCAAGACGCGGCAAGAAATGCGGCTGGCCGCGAAGGACTACAAGCCCCAGAGGTACTCCGCGAGGAGCATGCGCAGCAGCGCGCTCCCCTCGCGGAGCAGCTGGGACTGCAAATGGCACGTTGCTCGTATGGGGGTCAGTGGAGGGGAGGAGAGAAGTGAGCCTAGAGCGACCGCCCGCTGCTTCGCGCCTGTGGTGGGATGTTCCTCTCTTCGAAAGGTAGCGAAGTATTTTTATTAGCATTATTCCGGGGGGGGGCGTATGAGGGAGAGGAGTTGCTGCCACTTCTTATTTCTCTTCTTCCCGCGTTTCGTGACGTCTTGTGGGCCCAGTTTGGTGCGCGGGCTCCTCGTTCCTCTTATTTCTTCGAAAGTCCTGCGCTGGTTTTTCCAGAGGAGGAAACTCCCCTCCTTACGCTCTCCCTCCATGAAGGGAAGGCTGCAGGGATCGGGGCGGCCGGCGTTATTCGGCTAGCTGAGAGAAAGCTGCGTCTCCGAGGTCGCCACACCCACCAGGTGCAACGCTAAATCCCGCTCGGTATCGACCGAGGCAATGGTTAATACCTCAGTGGCTTCGCTCAATGGTCGGGCAACGACCGCAGCCCTTAAGACTGGGGGTGAAAGGTCGCCGCGTTTGGATTGCGGGCGGGCGCGGGGCCGTAAGGAGTGTATAAAACCACGCAGGGCGAAGAGAAAGCAAGGAAGGGACAGGTTTTTCCTTCTCAGGCGTGCCAACTTGAATAAAATACTGCGGGGGTAGGTAAGCCCCGCCCCGCATAATCGATCACAAAATGTGGTGCACGCTCACTATTTGAATGGCAATGCCCCATCAACTTTGTGGGGCGGCCCCCTCAAACATTTTAATGGAGGGGGGTGCCGTAGGTATTTCGACCCCTAGGAGTTGGCTTCCTATGCTTTCCCTCGTAATACAGGGACCCAGGTTCATTGAATGAAGCTGGCGATTGAGAGGTTCAGGCCGGGCGCAAGAAAGGGCTTCCTCACCGAGCGCAGAGTTAAAATGTAGATTTTTGGCGCCACAAAGGTGTGGCGGGGACCCCCAGCTGAAATTGCCTGAAAGAAATGTTTCGTGACCAATTTGCGGGGTGGGTTTGGGTTGTTGTTTTTTTGTTTTGTTTTTTTTAAAGGCCGGTGGTCATGATGGCTGCACGGCCACTGAATACACCGCATTATGCAGCCTATGAAAGTGTTTGTGGTATGCCTCCTCCGTGATAAAGCAAAAGAAGTCATCGGGAAGCAAAGGAGCTTTTGAATTTATCAGAAATCTTCTTTCAAGCTGTATGTTAAACAAAACAACAACAAAAAGGCCTGAAGAAGACCAAGGAGATAATGTCAGACACTCTAGGAAGCAAATGGCACTAAATGACAGGCTTCCAAACAAATGTTCATAGACTCAGAATAATGGAATCCCATCCACGCCCCCCAACTCTCATAGCTCTGCTATATATGTCATCTAGCTGTTTGTTTTCTTTTGCATACTGTTGTGATCACTACAAAAATGAGTGTTGCATTTCTAGTGAATTGTTTAAAATGCTTGTGGTAGCTCTTCAGGGGGTTTTATGTAGACTGGAAAATAATTAGGCCTTATTAACCTAGTATACAGTACTTGTCAGTCTGTGGCTCTGCCATCTGATATCACCCGAAGATTGACCTTGAGTGTGTAGAAGTAACAAAAGTAACACAGCTGCAGAGGTGGACTTGTGACTGTCAATCAAAACAATTATTCGTCAGTAAAACAGCGTAGTACTCAATTCACCAAACACCTCTTCGTCTATCTGGTGTGTAGAATAAGTAAGTGAAATCAGAGGGGGAAATTTTCCTAGAGTCCAGCTCTTCCCAACCAGGTTTACAAGTGGTCATTCTCATGTCCCTGTGCATACCTTTTTCTTTAGCAAGTGAGAGACCTGACATGAATTCATGTACTGTATTATGGATTATTATGGACCATCTGAAACCTCAAATGCTGAATATTTCTATGTCTGTGCTCAGTGAAGTAGGTGAAATCTCAAGGCAGCCTTGAGCACCAACTTCATTCTGGGAGTCTGGGAGGCTTCAACACTGCTTCTGAGATCTAGTTGGCCAGGGAGCCTTGTATGGGTCAGCTATATCCAGCCTATCCCCAAATCAATTTTATAAATACTGTGCACCCTGGCCTTCAGTAAATACTGTTAGCATTTTTTCTACAGTTTAGGTATTAGATGCCTTCAATAGGGTAAGCTATCTGTGTAGATCACCATCCCATCTCCAACCTGTCCTTTAATGGTTAGCTGGTTGCTATACTATGTCAAATAATCAGCTGGAACAAAGTGGGATAGCTCTGGCCTGGAGGCTTTTCCTAACTAGGTATCTCTAGTAAAAGGTAATGGTACCATCATATGCCAGATGAAAAATTTGTTCTACTGATTCTTACTTCCTTGGTTTTGAAATATGTCCTCACTTTTATGTAGATTTTCCTCTAGCTGGAAGCTGAAGAATCCTTACACCGAATCAGTAGTCTGGTCTAGCGGCTTTGGCCTTTGAAGCATCAGAAGTACAATGACTTGATCATGAGCCTAATCAAACAAGTGATAAACTTTTAAGGATAAAGGCATTGTCCCTGTGATAGACTTTCTGTTTTTAAGAGTATTGGGAAAAGGTAAGCAATTGCTTTTTCTGTGTGTGAATAACCTAGCAATATGATATTGGGGCTGAATTTTTTTTGGCTAAGAAGTGACCAGATATTTTGAGATGTTATTCTAGAAAGTTGTTGTTGTTGTTGTTTAGTCGTGTCCGACTCTTCATGACCCCATGGACCAGAGCACGCCAGGCACTCCTGTCTTCCGCTGCCTCCCACAGTTTGGTCAAACTCATGCTGGTAGCTTCGAGAACACTGTCCAACCATCTCGTCCTCTGTCGTCCCCTTCTCCTTGTGCCCTCCATCTTCCCCAACATCAGGGTCTTTTCCAGGGAGTCTTCTCATGAGGTGGCCAAAGTATTGGAGCCTCAGCTTCACGATCTGTCCTTCTAGTGAGCACTCAGGGCTGATTTCCTTATGAATGGAGAGGTTTGATCTGCTTGCAGTCCATCGGACTCTCAAGAGTCTGCTCCAGCACCATAATTCAAAAGCATCAAAACTTCCGCAATCAGCCTTCTTTATGGTCCAGCTCTCACTTCCATACATCACTACTGGGGAAACCATAGCTTTAACTATACGGACCTTTGTTGGCAAGGTGATGTCTCTGCTTTTTAAGATGCTGTCTAGGTTTGTCATTGCTTTTCTCCCAAGAAGCGGGCGTCTTTTAATTTCATAACTGCTGTCACCATCTGCAGTGATCATGGAGCCCCAAAAAGTAAAATCTCTCACTGCCTCCATTTTCCCCCCTTCTATTTGCCAGGAGGTGATGGGACCAGTGGCCATGATCTTCTTTTTTTGATGTTGCGCTTCAAATCCTATTTTGCACTCTCCTCTTTCACCCTCATTAAAAGGTTCTTTAATTCCTCCTCACTTTCTCCCATCAAGGTTGTGTCATCTGCATATCTGAGGTTGTTGATATTTCGCATGATGAATTCTGCATATAAGTTAAATAAGCAGGGAGACAATATACAGCCTTGTCGTACTCCTTTCCCAATTTTGAACCAATCAGTTGTTCCATATCCAGTTCTAACTGTAGCTTCTTGTCCCACATAAAGATTTCTCAGGAGACAGATGAGGTGATCAGGCACTCCCATTTCTTTAAGAACTTGCCATAGTTTGCTGTGGTTGACACAGTCAAATGCTTTTGCATTTGTTCTCCTCTATTTCTTTGCATTGCTCGTTTAAGAAGGCCTTCTTTTGTCTCCTTGCTATTTTTTGGAAATCTGCATTCAATTTCCTGTATCTTTCACTATCTCGCTCGCATTTTGCTTGCCTTCTCTCCCCCGCTATTTGTAAGGCCTCGTTGGACAGCCACTTTGCTTTCTTGTATTTCCTTTTCATTGGGATGGTTTTCGTTGCTGCCTCCTGTATAATGTTACGAGCCTCCATCCATAGTTCTTCAGGCACTCTGTCCACCAAATCTAAATCCTTAAACCTGTTGCTCACTTCCACTGTGTATTCATAAAGGATTTGATTTAGATTGTATCTTATTGGCCCAGTGGTTTTTCCTACTTTTTTCAGTTTAAGCTTGAATTTTGCTATAAGAAGCTGATGATCTGAGCCACAGTCAGCTCCAGGTCTTGTTTTTGCTGATTGTATAGAGTTTCTCCATCTTTGGCTGCAGAGAATATAATCAGTCTGATTTCGATGCTGCCCATCTGGTGATGTCCATCCATGTGTAGAGTCGTCTCTTGTGTTGTTGGAAAAGAGTGTTTGTGATGACCAGCTTGTTCTCTTGACAGAACTCTATCAGCCTTTGCCCTGCTTCGTTTTGAACTCCAAGTCCAAACTTGCCAGTTGTTCCTTTTATCTCTTGATTCCCTACTTTAGCATTCCAATCCCCTATAATGAGAAGAACATCCTTCTTTGGTGTCATTTCTATAAGGTGTTGTAAGTCTTCATAGAATTGGTCAATTTCAGTTTCTTCATCACCAGTAGTTGGTGCATAAACGTGGATTACTGTGATGTTAAAAGGTCTGCCTTGGATTCGTATCGAGATCATTCTGTCATTTTTGAGATTGCATCCCAGTACAGCTTTCGCCACTTTCTTGTTGACTATGAAGGCCACTCCATTTCTTTTACGGGTTTCTTGCCCACAGTAGTAGATATGATGGTCATCCGAACTGAATTCGCCCATTCCCATCCATTTTAGTTCACTGATGCCCAGGATGTCAATATTTATTCTTGCCATCTCATTTTTCACCACATCCAACTTACCAAGGTTCATGGTTCTTACATTCCAGGTTCCTATGCAATAATTTTCTTTATAGCATTGGACTTTCCTTTCATATCCACAACTGAGCGACCTTTCGGCTTTGGCCCAGCCACTTCATCAGCTCTGAATCTACTTGTACTTGTCCTCCGCTCTTCCTCAGTAGCATGTTGGACACCTTCCGACCTGAGGGGCTCATCTTCCGGCGTCATAACTTTTATATGCCTGTTGTCTTTGTCCATGGAGTTTTCTTGGCAGGGATACTGGAGTGGTTTGCCGGTTCCTGCTCCAGGTGGATCATGTTTGGTCAAAACTCTCCACTATGACCTGTCCATCTTGGGTGGCCCTGCACGGATTAGCTCATAGCTTCTCTGAATTATTCAAGCCCCTTCGCCACGGCAAGGCAGTGATCCATGAAGGGGTGCTAGAAAGTGGTTGCTACTAATTCAGTAGTAAACTAAGGATTTAGTCACAATATTTATAGATAACGTGAATTCCCTATGGAACTTGTATTCATAATATGACTCAAAGCTCTGCAGAACAAATTAAACTAGTTTTGAGAGAAGTTATTAACCTGTTCCAACTCTTACTTGAGATGAAAGTTTACTCAGTTTTGATTTAGCATAAATTGATACCTGACCACTAGTGGCATTATTGTATACACATACAACACTAATAAAATCATAGTTGGAATGAATCATATTCTAGTTCAATTCATGCTCAGTACAGTACCTGCAATGCAGGATGCAACTACTACAGCATCTCTGGCAGATGGCTGAAATACATTCAGCTAAGGAGAGCCGCTCTTAAATTTAGCCAGTACATTAGCTCTTAGGCCTAATTTGTGTTTGTGTCACATTGTGAAACAGAGAGCTCCAGCGAGTGAGTAAGAGAGCACTTTATATTTAGCTTGGTTGTATAGGGAATAGGAAGTAAAAGAAAATTAAGGCAACTTAGCTACAGTGAATGGTATGAAAGTAACCAACATTTTTAAAATATGCTTAGAAAATGTGTGGGATGAGGATCTAAAATTTCTTTTTATTGGAATTGCTTTGCTGTTTGATCAGTAGATATTCTAAGAGATATTTTTAGGAGCAGGGAATAAAGGGTAACAAAGGCTTACTGGTCAATTACAGCAAGTTTGCCACACTAGTTGTAATCTAAGGAAGGTGCAGTAGAGGGCAGACCGTAACTTCAAATCAGTCTATCTAATTCCTCATCTGAGACAACATTACTAAAGCGCTGATCTTCAACCCCAATAAAATAATAAATAGAAACAAATACTTGGCCTTTTGTGACTCTTGCATGCATGTATACATACATACATATATAAGTCACAGCTGAAAACTAAAAGACCTTCCAGAACTGTGTCTCATGTAGTTGGAAAAATTATTGTGAAAGCCATGGTATATGCATAGAAAAGTTTAGGCATATATTCCGGGATCTTTAGCTCTTAAAATGTTCAAGATTTAGTAGGCAGTTGCTGCTTTTATGATTATCAAAGGTGTGTTCCTCTGAACCAAAGCCATGTCACATTACATGTTTGTACATTTATGTTACATGCATGCACACACATGAAATCATCAAGAAGCATGAACATTGTGAACCCAGAAAAGAATGGCACCACTAGGTTAGCTGCATGTTAGTGAAATCAAGTCTGATTAAAGAGGCAGGCAGTTAAAGTTGACCTGGAAAATTGGATTTCTGGAGCAGCCATATTCTTGACAATTAAATGAGTGGGTTGTGAAGATAGAGTGGCCTTGGACCACACTTGCAAATTAGCCACTTGCTTGTGGTAAACTAAAAGTGCATTCAGGCAACTGAGTGTCTAGAATGGAAAATTCTGTCAACAACTTAGGACTCAGTTTTCTAAAATCTCAGTTCAGTTTTTAAGTTCTTTACATTACAGAATGAGTGACAACCTAATTTCCAGCTGTGTTTCCTTGCCATAAACCCATGCACCACCTCACCAATAGCAAGCACCCCCTGTCTTTCCACCCACAGCCCTGCCTGTGGTAGTTTTTTCATACCCCATTCTAGTTATTTCATTCTCCATGCTCTAGGAGAGAATCAGAATTTACTTTGACTTTTGCAAAAAAGCACTTCAGTATCTCAATTCTGCTTCATACATAAACCCTATATAGCACAATTCAAAACTGCATTCAAAAAACGATGGTGAAGTCTTTGCTTGTTTTATTCCTTTTTTATTTACTGGTGCAGGGTTCATTACGTCACAAATTCTTGTTCCGTGACAAGTTCCCCAGGCTTATAGCTTGTTAAATGAAGTTCAAATTCCACTTGTGAAGAAGGTTTGAAACAAGTTTTAAGCCTGGGGAACTTGTCGTGGAGCAAGGGGAAGTCGTGAAGTAACGGACCCCGCACCTGCAAATAAACAAGGAATCAATCAAGCAAAGACTTCATGTTTTTTTTGAATGCAGTTTTGAATTGTGTTCAATAATACTTCATTCCCCCCCCCCCTTTGTATCATTTCGTACAAAAACCCAACAGGAAAAGAACAACTCTTGTCTTTTTCCTCTGTGGAGGAAAGAAGCAGTAGATGTTTCTCTTCCTGTTTAGTTTTAGCATGAGGTGGTCCTGGCACGTTTCCCAAAAATCTTCCTACAGGCAATGTCCTTCCTGTACTCTGTAGAGGCAAAGAGAGGTGGCTTCTATCCTGCAAGCTGAGCTTTTTACAGAAAACTCCTTCAATGTCTATCTACAGCTTCTTGTAAAAACCCAACAGGGAGAGAACCAAGGGGACAAAGGTGTAGTTTCTTTCCTTTCCTGACAGGTTTTTGCAGGAGCCTGCAGCAAAGCATTGCTTTTGATTTCTGCAAAAGCCCTACTCTCAGGAGAGCAACAACCTTCCTTTCACCTATCCACCCAATTGGAAGGGAGGAATAGTTGGACTGTGTAGAATGTTAGCAGTACAAAGTGCTGTTTGTACCTTTTGCAGAAACACATGGTGGCAATGGGCTTCGCTTGTAAACACAGCCAAAATTTGCAGGCTGATGAATAATTGTACTAATATTAATTCTCCTCTTTTGAGCAAAGTTTTTACCATTGTGGTATAACAATGTAACAGTTGATTTCAGTGTATTACAGTAGCCTACAATGTATTTGTTATTAATTTTAACAGTTTTCCTGTCAACGTTTCTTAGGAGCTGTATATAACAGTATCTTCAATATGCTGTTGCCATCAACCAAAATGCAGAAACCATTTCAGCTGGTGTACAGGACATATTGGATGCCTTATCGCAGCTGTATCTTTCCATTCTTAAAAGGAAAAGCCTCCTTGCTTAATACTAGACAGAAAATGGTTTCCTTGGCGTTGAGCTCCCAGCACCAGTGTCTACATGCATCTGCTGCTGTTTGTGTTTCCAAAGAAAGGCAATTCTTGGCCATGGCATCATCCCAGCTAGAAGACCATCGCAATAAAGAACTGGAAAGAGAAATTCATACCAAACCATCTGGTAACTTAGCCCAGAAAGACTCTGTAGAACCAAATTCTGTAGAGCTTGATCCCTTACAAGACAAATCTATTAGTCTCGTGCAGAGATTCAAGAGAACTTTTAAACAGTATGGCAAAGTTATGATTCCAGTGCATCTTTTGACTTCCAGCATATGGTTTGGAATTTTTTACTATGCAGCTTTAAAGTAAGTGATGAACTCATAATCACTATATTTATTAGTCTTAGGCAAATCTTTACAGTAATGCACCCAATCACTTATGCAGTGTGTGAGATATACACACACATATGCGCACACAACCTTCCATTACAGATATTATTAAAACCCCAAGTTCTAAAAGCATATGTAGAATGTAATGGTCTATTCCAGTAATCTTCCATCCAATTTCTTAATTTTTATCATGCATTTTGTATGGTGGTCACCCAACTTGGATTAGGCTGCAACTCAGGTATGTGTCCCATATCACCAGTTGAGGACAAGATATTCTGTTGCACATAACATTCCAATATTTTAAAGAGTATGTATGTGTAGATCACTATTGCTTGTATTGCAGGTACACAATTTTCCTTCCAAAATGATGGGACTACCTGGGAAAGTAGAAGTTTTCTCTGTGTCATATTTTTGAAGTATTTTTCTTTTTCTACATTTTCTGTTCATTGTGAAGTCATGTACATTGCCACTCTTGTTATCTGGTACCTGGTTATAGAGCTCTGTACCTTGCACTTTGATTTCAATATCAGAGATGAACTGAGCTTATAGATCATTCATATAGAAGTCCACTCCTGGTTTGCTTTCTTCATTTCAAAAACATAATTTAGGTGACAGAAGTCATTTTGATATTGCTATTGTTAAACAACTAAGTCTAAACCCTTGAATATTCTATTGAAAATCAACCAGAAATCTGACAGTTGATCTTAATCCTCTGGTTTAAAGTATTACAACTGGGAATATCTTCTGAATGATCTCTCTTGACATTTTCCTCTTCATTGGCCATTAATGCTTGAATCTGCACTTTATACTGGTGCAATAAAAGTGTGATTGATTGCAATACAGTAAGCCCTCAACTTACGCAGGAGTTACTTTCCGAGCATTGTGCCTGAAGCCAAAATTGGTTACAGTCAAAACCCATAGAGTGCAATAGTGGGTGAGATTGCCCCCAACATGTCTGCCCCCTTTTATTTTTTATTGTTCAAGTGCATAAATCTGAATGAGTGTTCAGTTAAATGTGCATAGGTTTCAAGTGTACTGTATTTATTAAATATAAAAATCTTTTATTCTGCAGTCTTGTCAGAATAAATGTTTATAAGGTTGTTAGCACTTTATTCATTTTGATCTCTTTCTTTCACAGAGGAATAAATGTTGTTCCTTTCCTCGAATTCATAGGGTTGCCTGAAAGCATTGTAAATATTCTAAAGCATTCTCAGAGTGGTAACGCATTAACTGCCTATGCAATGTATAAGGTAAGTACTTGCAAAGATTTCTTAATTTCATCTGCAATGTTGTCCATAAAAATATTGATCATGTAATCATATAATGAAGGGGCTACAGCCCACTGATTAACCCTGCAGTCTGTTATGACCAAGGCTGTGAACTTCTGAAATAAAAGTCACAGCTGTGAATAAATTTATTCAAAGTAGATCTTGCCACAAGAGCTCAGGGTAGGTAACAATCCTGTGGTTATGAAGAAGACAGATTCCAAGTCAACATTTTGGCAAAGGAAGGGAACAATTGGAAATACTATTTACAGGGCATCATGAGAGATTTAAATGTGGACATAAAGCATTTTAAGAGTTGTACGTATGAAATAAGTGGGTATTTTTAACAGTTTTCTGTAAACTGTACGTAATGTAGCTGAAGAACACCTTACTTTACCTGCTATTTTCTCTCTAAGTCCATCCTCTCTAGCAAAACGTGGTGTAAAATTTGACTCTTCACCATTGTCAAACACTTGTGTCACAGTAAGGAACGAAAGACCTCTCAGTTGTTGACGCATGTGGGTTTAGGCAATTATGGGATATTCTCTGCTTTGCTGTGTTGCTCCCGGAACCTTATTTACACTAACTTGTAATTCCAGACTTGCAAAAAAGCCAGTCATTTTGTTGTCCTTTAAGCTGCTAGCTATTTCCCCACTCTTGGCTGTGCTTTTTCATTTCCTATCACCTTGTTATAATGAAGAAAGCCTGTTGAACAGCAAAGTTGCTTGGCTGATTTTACATGTGCTTATTTATCTCTGTGTGTCCCTGCATGAAAGTGCTTTCGTTTATCATCAGTGCAGCCAGGGATAAGGAACTTCCAGATGCTCAACTCTCTAAGTTGCGTCTTTCCTGACCATTGGCCATGTTGGTTTGGGCTGATGGGAGTTGTAGTAGTTCTGGAGGGCCACATATTTTCCTTTCTGAGTAAGGCCATGTGTGTTCTTCCTTCCTCTCCTCAGAATTAGATCCTGTAAGTTCTGGAGGCAGTAGAAGATCAGTCCTTCCATTAGTGTGTCACCATGAAAATACAATGCAGCACTAATGGTGTTGGTTTGTCCTTTTTGCATTTATCTGTAAGACCAGTTGAATGCATTAAGAGGAGTACTTGTGAACCAATGAGACACTAGCTTAAACCATGATATTGGTGAACTTTTGAGTGGCAAGGCACTTCCTCCATTTCCCATATGTGAAATGGGAATAATAATGTTGTACCTTGACCAATTTGTTCTGAAAATGAGCAAGATGAAAGTGCTAGATACATGGTATCAGTATTAAGTAGGGAGTTGTTCTCCCACTGATTCACATGTCTTAGATATTTCTCTTGTCTGTTCAGTGTGAGTCTGACTTGTGTTCTCAGTTGCTAAGAAGACTATAATTGATTAGATTTTTTTTCTTTTCTTTCTATTGGACGCCCTACTGCTATTAAAATGAATATGACCAAGTCCAGTAAGAATGAGATCTAAAAATCCCACTACTTCTTTCACACCCAAGAGTTTAGGTTTTAATCTCTTTTGTTGCTGTTTTTCATGAAGTGATTTTAAGATGCATCTAAGGATACAATACAAAGGGTGAAGATCTAACCCTAGATCTGTTGAAAGAGAGATGTGGCAGATTGCTGGTTTAGCCAGCAGGCTCTGTGCTCAGCCTGGTTATGCCAGCATAAGTCCCCAATCATTAATCCTGGCTTAGTGCCGAGCCCAGACTGACATAAACCTTGGAAAATGGGCAGGGAGGTGAGACCAGGGAGAGTGAACTTAATGCAGGATCCTAACTCTATTCTGTTTGCTCATGTAACCTGGCAACGTGGTGGAATTTATGCTTGTTTCCCCTCTGCTGGTCTTAGGCTGGTTTAACCAGCAGTAGCCTTGCTCCTGAATGGATCTCGCTTCCCATACGTAGGACTAAGGCAGGAATTGCCACTTTTTTCAGAATTGAAGAACAATATTGGAAATTATTTTACCTTCTCAAAAAGAATAAATGTGGGATTTTTTGTCTTTTAGTTTTTGTCCTCTCAATTTGAATTTTAACAACAGCTTTGTTTTGCTGCATGGATACTGAATTGCTTTAATTGCTTTCCTCTCTCAATAGAATTTGCTGTGCTCTGTCTTAATGCTTTTTATTTTTCTTTCACCTGCATTTCTCACGTCGTGCCACTGGCTAGCCTTTTATTAAGATCTCTGAGCTTTAATTCTACTGCCAGGTGCTAAATATTTTCCAATAAGACACTATCAAGTAAAGTGAGAGCTTTTTCTGATGCAAGAGGCAGAAAGCATTTATAAGTAGATACAAAACTGCCAAACCATCAGCTTTCATTGAAGTAGGAATTAGTATATGTCCTCCCACTTATTTCCTGATGATATGTCATTATGTGGAACTCAAAACTGGGAACAAAGATTTGGGTGGGAGTAAAGAGCGAGCACACAGGGTACAAGATTAGAAAGGACAATCAAAAGCATATAAAGGTCTTGTTTAGTCCTTACATAGATAACATCATCTTCATGCTTTGAAAATGTATTCTTTCAAAAAGCTTCACACTCCACTGAAGTCACTCTTCAAGATTAAACCTGTACAGTCGTACCTCGGCTCCCGAATGCCTTGGGAGTCGAACGTTTCAGCTCCCAAACAATCGAAAACCAGAAGTGATTGTTCCAGTTTTGAACATTCTTTTGGAAGCCAAACATCTGACAGTGCTTCCATGGCTTCATAATGGCTGCAGGAGGTTCCTGCAGCCAATCAGAAACCGCACTTTGGAAGTTGAACGTTTCGGAAGTCGAACGGACTTCTGGAACGGATTCTATTCAACCTCCAAGGTACGACTTTATTGCATTGCCACACTATAGCATAGCTAACTTTCAAAGCAAGATTCCATTTTTTCTTACTTAAGCAGGGCTTTGCAACTGTTAACCTTCAGAAACTTTAAGAAAAGCACAGTAATGCAGACAGAACTTAATGAGCTTAGTAACCTTTGTGACATATCTTCTGGATATTACCAGTCATTTATTGTCCATCATCTCAAGTATATAATACTGGAGAATTCATCCTTTTGCTGTAGAAGGCTGCAGTCATGAGTCCTTCAAGCAGACATACGATTGGACGCTAAATAACTTTGCACAGGACTAGGAAAGTTTATTTCTGCAAATTCTGAAGCTACCTGACCTGTTCAACAATATCTGGCCTGATGTGCAGATGGGAAATTAACCTTTGGATTTTACATGTCTCTAAATATTGTAATACGGTTCTCAGCTGAGAAAATATATTTAAATGCATATTTTAGGATGAAATAGGTTTAGGAAATAAACACACTGAAATAAAAGCATGTTTACATATTTTTTTTTATCAGAATAAGTATTTAAATATGAATTTTCATGCAGGTTTTTAAAGTTGCAGATGTATGCTGAAACAGGACAGGATAGACTTCTCAATGAGCACATGCAAAATTGAAGTGAGACAGAAATAGACTGATCAATCCCGAAACAACTTCAGTTAGTAACGTCTAGAGGATGTGGCAGAAGGTTAATAAGCCCACAATATATGTCTGATTTATTGCCCTCTCCTTAAAATACCTACCATAACAGAGTAATGCAGCATTGTTTCAATAAGGAATGAAAAGGTACCCTGACCACTGTCTAGCCTTCATATGCGCATGTTATCCTAAAGATACTTCAACCTAATTGTCAGTTTGTTTGATATTGAATAGCTGCTGCCTTACCATGTAAAGCTTGTTGTGACTTGCACACTAATCCTATTTCCTAGTGCTTCACTTCTAAAGGATCAGGTTTAAGAGTCTGGAGGGGGCATGATCTAACTATATTGTTGCTAGCAACCATTGCTAGTTCAGCAGCATCCTCACTGCTGCTGCTGCTGCTGCTGCTGCTGCAGTATTTGTCAGCTCCTGTCAGGCAGCGATACTTACTTATACAAGGGAAGATATAAAAAGACTGCCCCATACCTCGTGTTCATTTAGCAACTGGAAGGTATACTGAAGCTTGGGAAAACTCGCACATATCTTTTCAGAAAGTAGGAAACTGGGATGGCAGGGAGAGTTTTCCTGCCAGGGTAAGGATGATGCTTAACTTAAGAGGTACAAGTAGTTTTTGTGCTGCTGCAGATAACAATGATAGACCTGTCAGGAATTTTGCCTGGTAAGAGGAATTTGCCGTTGAAGTTATACATGTATGTGTATTTCCCTCCCTCTTACTGACAAGATTGCAACTCCGGCCAGATACACAGTGACTTTAGGAGGGACATCTATCACTGTAAAGTACCTTCGTAAGCAAGGCTACATGTCCACACCACCTCTAGTCAAGGACTACATTCAGGATCGAATGGAAGAAACGAAAGAGCGACTATCGGGGAAAATGGAGGAAACCAGAGACATGATTAGTGGCAAAATGGAAGAAACAAAAGAGAGGCTGACTGGGAAGATGGAAGAAACAAAAGAGAGGATAACAGAAAAGATACAAGAAACAAAAGATAAGGTTTCATTTATAAAAAAGAAAGAATAGGGAAATTGGCGGCAAAACCAAAGCATTTGTAACTCTTTAGCAAATGTGGAATGTATACACTTGCTGCTTTTTGTTTCTGCTTGTTTTAGATGTTTTGGGCTGATTAGAAAGTGCCAGTGATTTGAAAACTAAAACAATAACATCTAAGGCTCACACCCAACTTTAGAAAATTATTGCAATATTTTCAAGTGTTAAGATTTGGGACCATAGCTAGGTCCCAAAGTGGGGTTCTGTGGTCTGCCTAATTATGACCAACAGTCTTGTCTGGATCTTTGTGGAGAAAGAACAAAGTTATCTACACATCTGATTTGAGCTGACCTATTTGTCACTGTTAAGTGTCTTGGAAGCAATGTATGAGAATGTTTGGGTCATGTACACAAACGTATTTTGGAGATGGTGTCAATATTTGTAAATCATTTAATCATAATATTCTTAAAAGATCAGGTAATTATAAAATATATATTACTGCTATATTCTTATAAACAGTTTACTGAATGGTGTATGAGAGAGAGACTGCAAAATGATACTAAACTTAATTGTATATTTCAAATGTGCAATTGGATTGATTATTCCACGGTTAGACTAAAAATGTCATGCCATCATTAAAAGTTTTGAAAATGGAGAAGATAAACCTACCTCTGCATATGAATAGTCATTTACATTTTCATCATTGTGTTTAGAGTAAAGACTGATAGATGCTGCTGCCTTTTACATTGAAGAATCCTAGAAAATTTCCACAAAACTTCAGCATTACTATACTGTTGAGTACTGTGGAGTAATCTAAAATTTACAGGTGTGATTCTTATGATTCCCATGTTGTTGTCATTTTCTATGGGTGGTAGACAGTTAAGTTTTACTCAGAGTAGACCCATTGAAATTAATGGCCCTGGCTTAGCCTTGTTCATTGGTTTAAGTGGGTCATCTCTGAGTATATCTTCATTGAATGCCATCCAAAGTTACCTGTTCTGTCTGAAGCATAACATGGCATTTCAGTTCTCCTATGGTTTTGTTTTTTAAAGCGCTTATAAGCTGGAATATAAAGGAGTACTGCATTGGAGTGGGAGATCCAGAAACTCATGGTGCACCCTTTCAACCTCTTGTGTATGTATACCACTGCTTGTGCTGTGACTGGTGGAAAAAGGAGCCAGTGATAGGAGGATTGCACCCAAAGCAGGAAACGTTTTTTGCAATCTGGTTACCTTTAAGCTATATGAAGGAAGATATGTATTTATCCGTCTATTTCTAGACTTGCTTCTTTTATTTCTGTCAAGTTACCAGAAAGCATCTGTAGAATTAACTTCATAAAGGCCCTCTTTCAGGGACATTGTGAGAGATGCTGCGAGATTGATGGCAGTCCAGGAGGCATCTGCAAAGTCCATTGCCAAAATGTGCTCTGACTACTTTTTCATGCTACTGATTTAAGGAATTGTTTTCTTTAATGCTTTCAGGTATAAGAGGGAAGCACTTACCAACAAACCATCTTGTGCAGAGCAATTAAGACTTTTGAGAGTTACACTATTACAGGGTGAGTCCTTTAAAAGATGCCCCATGGATACAGAGTACCCATGTTCCACGGGACCTCTTTTAAAAGACTCACCCTGTATAAGAGTTCAAAGACAGTATTCTACAATGGTATAAATTGCTCCCCTCTTTACATGGTCAGTTTTCAATGGTGAGGCTGAACTTACTGCCACTTGTGTGTCCTAGACTGAGTTTGTTGAATCCATCTTCCAAGTGCTCACCATGCCTTTTTTCTTCCAAGGTATGTTTCCTTTGGTCCCAATTGTGCAGGATGAGCACCACTCGACACTACATGTTCATCCTGGCATTACTGTATTAGTTCAACTGAACTATCCAAAATACCCCTGATATGAATTTTTCTCCTTTCTCTCATCACATGGAAGATTCCAGTGTCATTCTGGCAGCTGGCAATGAGGATTTTCTGTGTACATCAGGAAGAAAAATATGTGATAAAATAGGTAGTTGTATCCACCACCAGGTGGAATGCTCTTATAAGCATGCTTTGTGAATGGGACTGGATGCACGAGAGAGAAGACATTGCAGTTGGCTTTTTGTCTTCCCTTTGTCTTTCTTGTATATTTTAATTGAGTGAAAAGATTTTGGGAGAAAATGGCTATGGATAAAATATTCAAAAAGGTGGAGGTCAATATGGCATTAACATTTACCACGCCAATTTTAAATTGCTTTAACTGCAGGTGTCAAACTGGGACCTCCCCTGTTGCAGAGATTTGAATCAGCAGCCATTTTCACAAAGTTTCTTAGCATATGTAATAAAGCTGAAAATAACAAAAGCAATATGAAAGCAAGGCACGTGGCCAGCATCGGAAGACGCAGGGAACTGTGACCATGGTTGTGCCCCTATATATTTGGGTCAAAAATAAGCAGCCCTAATGTTAGTCTGAATTCAAAGTGGGCACCTGCTTATTAATGAGATGTGGTTTACCTGGCCTTGGACCCTGGTATGTATTGGTTTGCTTTTTCCAAGGTAGATGTGCGGATCTTGCTAGAGGAAAGCCCCAAAGGTTGATACTTAGAACAGCATACTTCAGAAAGCAGCACTGAGGTCATGAGGTCATCACAGCGTGCAAGGACAGCATAGTCAAAAATGAGAGCCATGGCTGGAAGTGAAGTACCACCTTGGCCTTAAGCGCAATATTTATTTTATTTTTCCACAAAGAGCATGTTGGAGAGTTATGCTGTCGGATGTCAATTGCATGGATGTTAGCTTTCACCCTAGTACAGAGCTCGCCACTTTTACCTTTGCGTATATAATACACATAAAATAGTACAGGGGGAAATAGATTTCTAGGCTGCAGTCCTCTATTTCTGAACGACTTTCCCTTGCTTGTCTCTGTACTTTTAAGCCAAGTTTAAAAGAATATATTCTGGTTTAATGTCAGTCTATTTAAAATGAAACAATTCCATCCTCTTTCTTGAAATAAAATTTGTGTTTTGTTGTAGTGATAACACCTAGGGCTTAAAAATAATATTGGGGTGGGATGTCATGCTGGTGTAAATGGAAGCAGTATCTGCATGCTGCTGCTAGACTTGATCATTCATTTCAGTGTGACTTTCCCTGGCTCTCTGCGCCAGCCACACTGAAGGAAGATGGCAAAGCCACAATATTTGGTGAAATGTTCTGTTTCATCCACTATCCAATTTATTCCTTGACAAGTTTGCCTTTTTCTTATATCCACTGTAGATGGATCTTGCTGGAATAAATTTTGCAAAGTACCATTATTAAAGTACTCATGGCACATCATTACTGTCTGTGGGTTCTTCTTGTGTCACTGGCTGAGAGGATCTGTAAGTTATAACTCCCTTTCACCGTCCTCCAATATGCTTTCAACATTATGCTGATATAGATATAAGTTGTGTGTAGTGTATGATTTTGAAAAGCAATTATCTTTTAAATGATTTTTTTCATAACTTTTGTATCCTTACTGTGGAAATAATTGTGCTGAGACTTTTGCTTGGAGTTTGCAGAGATGCTATTCTGATTTTCCCTAAGCGCTAATGATACTCTTCTGAAAAATAAACTTTTGCTTGTGAAATGGTTGTAATATTAAATTGCATCACAACCATTCTCCACTTGGTCCCTAATAACTAGTTTGCTGTTACAACTTTTCCTTTGAACTGTTTTCTTTACCACCGTAATTATCTTTGTGACTCCCATCCAAAAGAGAAAACAGACAAATGGAGAAAGCTCCACTGGACCCAAGCCATTTGCTTCAAACACCTTGTGGCCTCATGTATTCTATATGAATTACATAATTCAATATGGGGGGAGGGAACTTGCTTCATAGCAAGAGAGCCAAACATCATGGCTTTTCATTCATTCTTTGGTGAAAGGGTTCTGTTTTAATACTTCAGTTAAGCCCAAATCCATAATATTTCCCTCCAAATAACTGGTACTAATTCCAACAAATTTCCCCAGAAAAGTATGGATCAGACTGTGCTATGTTATCTTCTTAGTTGAATCAAAACATTCTGCATAAAACGTAATGTGAAGGCATCTTTAGTGAAATAAATTTCTCAGCTGCTGGTGCCAGCAGTGATTCAACTGAAGACAGCATTATCAAGACTTGTTTTGTACAAATATAATGAAGTGTTTCCTGGCATATACCAAAGTACAAGTTCAACTAGCAGATCAATCCCAAGGTGGTAGGGGCTGGTGTAGCAGCAGACTTCTTTTTTCACGTAGAGAGTAGGACACCTGCAGGATCCAACAGTCCTTCAGCCATCTTTTCTTGGAGCCTAGTCTTGTTCCTTTAATTTCTTAAGCAAAATATTATAAATAAAGTACTTTTTAGATGCAGAAAGTTTTTGTCACCATTTTTAGAATAAGTATTAAAACAGCATGAGACACTTTGGTATTTCAACACTACTAGGTTGTCAAGTTTCTGTCTAACATAACTGTTATGAACAAACAAGCTTTTTAATAGGAGTATTTTACTTAGAAGGTTTCAGACTTTGGAAATGGTCAGATGTAAAGATCTCTCTGGGCAAGTTTCCATAAGTACACTGGTCTGAGGCTTAAACATCACATGATAGCAATTGCATAAATGCTTCCTCTGCCATTTTTATATGATCAAGGGTCTGGAAACCAAGCCTTATGAGATGCATGATTGCATCTCTCATCTTGTTTCAGCCGATGGAGATCCAGTCAACTTTCTATTACTGCACCTCGTGTGTGAATTAGCATTTTCATAAATCCAGGGCTAGTTTGGGTTTAAAATCGAAGCTTCTGTGCTTTGCAATACAACATCTGCTTAGAACTGGAACCTGAACAAGGCCCACAAAGTCAATAATTTATTCATCCATCACAGCCTATCCAGGTCACTCCCTGTGTCCCTAGAGTACCTGGGAATTCCAACAGCCATGTTTACTTGACATCTGATTTTATTTTAGCTTGGAAGCTACATCTCATGAACTTGCTGCATGTCTCGCTGAAACAAGATGCTAGATAATGTGTGCACAGAATCTGCATGCAACAGACTCCCAGGTAACCTGATTTCATATTGGCATAGCCTTTGTGTTTTTTCCTCCTTTCTATGACTTTTCTGTCAGGTTTGTTTAATGCTCTGGTCTTCTGGTTATGTGTGATCCCTTTGGGTGGTTTGCTTAATAAAAATCAAGCTCTATCCTTCTGCATAAATCGTTTACTGTCACCCATAATAATAATTACAGAATCTTAATTACCTCTAGCAATTATGTGGCTAGTCTGATGAGGACAATTCTGTAAGTAGAAAGAACACATCTTGATTGTATAAGCCTGCAAGCAAGCCTGTAACATTGAGTTTGTTTCCCAGCCTGATTAATTGATGAGACAATCACAGGCGACTCTGTGCATTAATATAAACTTGGTTTGTTGCTTTTAAAGGGAATTGTCAGCTTTTTAAAAAAAGAAAAGAGAAAACATACAGTATAGTGGTAGATTTTTATTAAGGGGATGTATTTGGACATGCAAATGTGACTAGAATAATAATAGGTAATGGAGAACTTGTCCACCACAATGTAAGTAATGCAAGGTACACAAAAGGAGAAGTCAGCAGCTTTTCATTACTGATAACTATTCTCTAATGACTGTAGGATTGACTATAGCCAGGGTTAACACTGGTGTGTGTGTGTGTGTGTGTGTGTGTGTGTGTGTGTGTGTGTGTGTGTGCGTGTGTGTCTTTTAAGGTGATGTCTTGGTTATATCAAGCAGTACCTTGGGGTAGGGGCAGCATTAGAGCAGGAATTGCCATGTTGATACTTGTAGTCCAACATTAACTGGTGGGTGCCCACATTAGCCATTCCTGCTTTCATATATTAAGGTCTAGAGAGTAGAGGATATAGATGAGAAAGAATAACAAATCTGTTATACATTCAAAAGGAAAGAAACTAAATAAATAGAAGGCCAAACGTCAGCGGTGGACCAGAAGGCATTGTACAGATACTAGATAGATTATAATGGTGCTTATCAGCTATATTTCCATTTTTAAGAATAAATTTACAAGCATTTAACATTTAACAATAATTTGACTTAGTAAATTTGGAATTGATTAGAGTTGTTGATTAACTCCAATCACCATTGGGAGAACATTCCATCCCCAACCTCTGTTATGCAGGCCATAAATTCTCAGACGTTTGAACGTCTTTCCACATGGGACATCTTGAGTTTCCATGGAGGAACAGCTTCATGACATCCCTAGTTGCAGATGCCCCTTCCCTGCACGGAAAGGGCCGTAGAGCATCAACTTTACATGAAGAAGGTTGCAGGTTCAGTCCCAGGCTTCTACGGGTAGGGCTGAAACGTCTCCTGGAGAGCCACTACTAGTCAGACTAGACAACACTGAGGTTGCTGGAGGTGGTGGCGGCTACTAGCCATGTTGGCTATGCTCTGCTTCCACAGTTCCACCATGCTGGAAAGCATGAGAGGGGAGAGTGCTTTTCTGCTCTGATATTGCTTGTAGATTTCCCACAGGCATCTGGTTGGCCACAGTGAGAACAGGATGCTGGACTAGATGGCTTGAGCCAGCAGGCTCTTCTATATATGTTATGTATCCTGTTAGGTGTTTGTTGGAAGATCCTTTGAATACCTTGCTCTTTTGTAATCCGGCAGTGGGTTGATGCTTTGGTCTAGGTGCTAGTGCAGGCATCCCCAACCTTCAGCCCTCCAGATGTTTTGGACTACAATTCCCATCATCCCTGACCACTGGTCCTGTTAGCTAGGGATCATGGGAGTTGTAGGCCAAACCATCTGGAGTGTCATTGGGTATGCCTGTGCTAGTGCTATCTGATATTAGTTTAGCTAGCAAGGAGGCTGGATAATTTTTAGCCATGTCATTCACATTTAGAAATTCTCGCCCCAGAGCATTTCATTCCATACTGGCTTTCAGAAAATTTGTGAACAAAGAAACCTTTCGTATGGGTGTGCACTTGGATATTGATCATTGTCTTGCAATAGGTTGTGGTGGTTTTTTAGCCTGCCGTGGTGTTCTAACAATTAGACAGCTATGGTTGTTGTATGGCTTCTGGTTTTATTGATGTGTTTAACTGGCTGGTTTATTGATTGTTGTAATGCCATGTTTGCTACCATAAGGGCACATTTTGGAGCCACGTATGGGCTATAAATTTCAGACATGAATAAATAAAGATAAATCAGCCCGACCTTAAGAATTGCTAGCCTCAAGCATAGGAACTTGTAGGCGCCAGCTATGAGACCTGCTCCACAGACTGTGTCTTAAGAAAAGCACCAACAGCTAGAAGTGGGTACCCCATGACAATGCAGTAAGGGGTGTGGAGAGGAAGGTGCAAGTAGAAGACCATGCTCAAGTGCTTTATGCTTTTGAGGAGGACTTAGCAGATTTGAAGCCTTGTTGCTGCTGCTCCTACAATGTGCATCAAGTATTAAAGCTGCCACAATAAGTGAGGTTTACTTTCCAATTGGTAAATGGGCTGCAATAAGATTTTGACTTTGAAAAGAGCACATATCCCAGTTGGCAACCCAGTTGGCAACTAAAGGGCTTGATTTTAAAAATTATGTAATCCCATTCATGCCAATGAGCTCAAATCACATTAAATCCAAATCCCCTGCCTTAACTGAAGTGTCGATTGGTCCTAGCTACTTCAGTGACAACTAAATAGCCTTAAATCTGAGTACTTTGATTTAATTAGGTTGGGAATCCCATGAGAGACACTTATTTTGCTGGACCCATTTTCTGGTTATCAAACAAGAGAACAACAGAATGACCATTCCCTGGGCACTTTGAGGATGACTTGTTAAAGAGAGATATATTTATTTCTTAAGACTTTTGGAATCGCATTGTTATCCATGCTGGGCAGTGGCGCAGTGTGCCCTGATCCTCAGTCTCTGAAGCATTTCAAGCCTGGGAATGTCACATTTACCATGAACGGATAGGGGAAGGATGTACACACACACACAAGGGTGGGGGGAAAGAATCTTTTCTGTAGTGAGAAGAATAAAACTGGTTTCTTTTCTCTTTTTTCCTTGCTAAGAGATTCCTGCTGTGTAGGGTTAAATGTAGGTCAAGCTGTCTGAGCCTTGTGTCTGCAATCTGCAGCACACTCAACACTAGATTAAATTGGGATTTTCCACTTACTCAACTGTCAATCTCCGTAATATCGGTAAAAGTTAAATTAATCAGGAGTGAGCAGGGCCTGGCTCTCAAGGGGGCTACTTGAGCTCCGGGGTGTTGCTTAGGCTTGTTGCAGAGAGGGGGAAAGATATGGTTTCTGTCACTAAGATACTGCTGTGCTCTGGCTGTTTGCCTAGAAGCTTCAGAATCTCAGAGAGAAAGAAAAAATGTGCCGTTGTTAACACAGATCAGCAGAGCTGTTGGTTTTTCTTTCTAAGCACTAATGCCACACAATTTGCATGAGAGGCCCACAAAAAACATGTCCATTTGTGTTCTCTTGGATAAATCAGGTTGCACTGCTTTCTTACGTTTGCTTTGTCCTGTAGTGTTGACATCTCTAAACACAATAATGTAAGAACATGCCTTATGCAGAATTAAGACCATTGGTCCATCTACTTCAGTATTGCTATTATCTTTATTCCCAAAACAGCTTATTTACCAAGCCCAGTGGAAAACTGAGCTGGGGAAGGAGATTGACCCATTACAAGTAATTATACCTCTATTCATTCCTCTTCTATTCCTTTCCACAAGGGCCTTGAAAAGCATCAGGGAACTCCCTGATGTATTATGAGGGGGCTTCCTCTGCTCCTTTGCAACTGACAGCAGAACAGAACTTGACTTTTCTTATGTCACCACATGTCAGATATCCTATTTAGGTTTGCGGAGACCTTTTAAAGCAGCCTAGCATAAGACTAGATTTGCTTTCTGCTGTTGTTTGCAGGGTTGGTATATTTCAGAGGAAATTACTCTGATATGTGGACCCACAGAGTAAGGTTAAGTTTGAGGTATGAGGTTTCCTTGAGGTACTGAGTGCAACTCTGCTGAATCCACTCCCCTGCCAAATATACTGTCTCCCTCTGGTAATGAGCTGCTCTAAGTCATTTTTGTATAACATACTATGAGGATGAGTTCAATGCCATATAGAAAATACTGTGCCAGTCTGGGGATTAAACTGTGGTGGAAATATGTCCTTCCCTCTTCCCATCTGAAAGTGGGAGAGGTTCAAAGAGCCAGTGTGGGATACTGGTTAAAGTGTTGGACTGGGAGCTGGGAGACAGACCCCAGTGAGCTTCATGGCTGATTTTGTCTCTTAGCCCAAGCTCTGTCACAGAGTTGTGAGGATAAAATGGGGAGTGAGGATGCCATGTATGTCACCTTGAGTTCCTTGGAGGAAAGGGTGGGATATAAATGTAATAAGTAAAAAGTCTATGCTGAAGTTATAGAAACATTTAGGTATGTAAGATTATATACTCTGGAATATTATACAGATGCACTATACAGTGGTACCTCGGTTTACGAACTAAATCCGTTCCGGAAGTCTGTTCTTAAACTGAGGCGCGCTTTCCCTAATGAGGCCTCCCACCGCCTGTGCCCTTCCACCATTCGGCTTCCATTCTTAAGTTCGCAAACCGGGACACTACTTCCGGTTTTGCGGAGTTTGTAAACTGAATAGTTCATAAACAGGGCTGTTCTTAAACCGAGATACCACTGTAATCCCCATTGCTGGCCAAGACCAATTGGGCTAACTGAAACTAATAACCATAATCCTTGGATTTATAAAGCAGAAAAAGCATCAAACAAAATAAAAATATGTCCTGGCCTCTTAATGGAGTGTAAATGAGGTCATTTCAGGAGATGATACAGGAAGCAGGGTTTCTTTTTAACTGCACATTTTAATCAGAACTCATTCAAAGCACAGCAGATCAAAAAAATGTGATAATGAAAAAGAAGCCTAATTAATTTTTTGTCTAAGCAGCAAAGTCTCAGAAAGAGAGCATTAGCTAGAAAAGGGATTATTATTTTTTTAAAAAAAATGATTGTATTTAATGAGAATCAATACGTTTGGGAGGCTGAAAGCAAACCCTGAACATTCTACCACATAATAGCAGACAGATACTGGATTCAACTTCCAGCAGGAAACCACCTATGGAGATGAGAGTGACCCTGTCTATAGCTGGTTGACAGGCAATGATTTCAGGAGGCACAATCAAATGGAAGCCATATTTTCAAACAAATATAATTACAGTGAAAAGCAGATTAGGAGAAAGATCAAAGCAGTCTCAGAAATGAAGCTGTGTACATTTGACTGGTGCATTGGGGATTTGGGACCAGGGTTAAAAAAACAAACTTAGCTTTTATCTTCTTTAGTGGAATCTATAAAATGAAGCTTTGGGGGACAGGGAGAAGAAACCAACTCTCTCAAAAGTGTTGTTGGAAGATATACCCAGAGGATTCAGTAAAAGTAGGTTTGGATATATTTAATTTTTATAGTAAATAAGTTTAAAACCAATGAGTCCTATATGACTAAATTGTTGCACTAGCAGAAACCAGCAGAACTAGCACAGTTAGACCTCCCCCTCCCCGCCCAAGATCTAGGGTGGAGAGAAGCCCCAAAACACCACACAGTGTGGGAGGGGAGGGAGATTATGCTGTTGGAACAAGCAGTTTATTGCCCAAGGAAACGTTCTTCTTGGTGCTAATCTTATGTTTTTTCCAATCAGCCTATCTGGGCATGTCCTGATATTAACCCATTTTGCTGTAGTTATCACTTTTTGCTACAGTTCGACAGTTTTCACAGGCTCCTCCCCCTCCCAACATACATTAACTCAATATGAGCTATAGCAGGAAGCAAATTCACACTGCATCCAAAAGAAATTTACAGCCTAGGTCTTCCCCCAAAGAATCCCAAGACCTGTAGTTTCCTTTTCATAGAGTATACTGTTCCCAGCACAGTTGACAAAACTTCCCAGGATTCTTTGGGGGATGTCATGGGTTTTAAATGTATGTTGCATTTCCAGAGTATATTCAAGCTTCCCGCCCCCTCATTTTAGAGCGTCATCTGTTTGAGAAAAGAAAAAACTGAACAAGAGACCAATTAACATCTTGATTTTTTAATAGCTTTGTTCTGTGGTTTGACCACAGCTCCTTAAGAACAAGCATAAAATCTGTATTTAAAACTAACAACAGCACTTAGAGCAACATTTTCCTTTAAAAGTATTGCAATAACAGACCTTAGGTCTAAAAACTAGAACATCACCATTTGCTCAGTTAAAAGGAGGCAGGTACACAACTGCTGAAATCTTTTTCTGCATATAACTGGAAGTTACATTAGAAATTAAGCAGCAAATTGAGGTTAAAGGGAACAACAGAAGCTTAAAGCAAGTTAAGATTCCTTGTAGTTTCACATGAACCACTACCAATAAATTTGAATATAAACCATGTTTTTTTTTTTTATTTCCCCCCAGATACCTTTAAAAAAGTTTAAATGAAAGACTAAATATTGTAGATAGTGCTGTATTATTTGTATTTTTGGAATAACTTCAAAGAAAATGAACACACACACACAAACAACCGAGGCAGACATAAAAGCAGAACATATGACCCAGTTTGGAAAGCAACAAAGCATATGCACCTTATTGTGTAACGCAGATTATAGGCTGGAAAATTAACACTAAAATAATAATAAAGTGTACTGAAAGCAGGCATGAATGCAGCAGTAAATTCAGTATCTAATAGCCAAGTTAGTGTGCAAACAATAGAAACATTATTTGCTATTTGAAGACCAAGGTCTCTGGTAATGTGTAAATTGCTTTAGTACTGCACGTAAAGAAAATAGTTACTCTGATAAAGTCTGTTTTAATTTTTGCCGTCTTAACAACATGCCTTTAAGCTCTTGTTCCAGAGGGAAAGTGTTTGGTTGTATGCAGGTTGTTGTGGGGTGGGGTGGGGGGCTAAAGTTTGATTTAAAATGATAGATATCTAATAAGTGGCAAAGTCTGAACGGAGCTCCAGGTCTACTTGACAGGTTTTTATCATATCTTTCCTCACTGCAGATTCAAAGCAGATTGATTATTTTTAAAAAGAAGGGTTTTGAGGGTTTGGGGGTGTTGGGTTTTTTTGGTCCAATCGGTATAAAACATTTTGTTATTGCAATTTTCAACCTGCATGCTAAATACCACCCTGCACACAGTTCACTAACATGCAAGGTTTCATCTACTCTGGAGAACATCACAATAGCGCAGAGCGAGCAAAGATATGGTCAGCACAACAAAAGTTTAAAAGGTTAGCACTCCATCTCCCAACCAAATGAACAAACAATATTTAAACCGTGCACACAAGTTTTTGGGAGGCTACTTAAAAATATCTAGTGTGGGTGTAGAGGTGGAAGAACAGAACACATGGCAAAAATATGAAAGCGCCACAAACACCACAGTACTTGAGGATGGGGATAGCAATTAGTATCCTGGTACAGGACAGAAGTATATATTTCCTAGAAGGATATCAACAAGCAAAACTGCAGGCCTGGTACAGAAGTAACGATATGCTATTAAGAGCTTAGCAAAGAACACATTTCTGAACTTGTTTGGCCTTGTTGACCTCCACTGTGAAAGACAATGCAGATTGCTCCTCAGATTTGGATCAGTCCCTCCGGCAATGACCTGGATAATGATTGCTGACAAGGGCAGCCAAACACACACAAAAAAAACTTTTTAAGCACAGCCTTTGAAAGCCACAATGTCTCCTGAGAACACAGCCACCACGAGACATGGAGGACTTCTCTTCATTCCCGTAAGTTAAGTCAACAAAGGTGTGGTCAAGCATCAATTTGTGGTCCAGCTTTGCTGGGGGTGGGCTAGAAGAGACCGACTAGGATAGTTCTATTGAGTTTAACCTGAAAGGCATCCACATCATCACCGTGTCACTCAAGAGGAGGAAAACATAGACTTGTTAGAGAAACGAATTTCACACTCTTGAGTAACAAGGTCATTCTGAAGCTGTGAACCAACAAGGATATTGAAAAGGGTTCCTTTAAAAAAAAAGAAAGAAAAATAATTACAATATTCTGCTGTCTTCAACACTAAAAACCTGCCTTAGTTTTTTCTGAGGTATTTGCTTTGCCTAATAAGCCTAAGCTGCAGAAGCAGGATACAGTGCAGACAGATGGTGAACTTGTACTGCCAAGGCAACCTTGCTGAGCACAGCACCTGCCACACCAAACAATATTTTCCTTGTTCACATCAAGGGTCTAAGTCCTGTCTCATTATCCAAATTAAAAACGAAGTCGCAAAAGCAAAAAAAAAAAAAATGCAATAGACTCTTTCATAAGAAAAGAAAGAAAAAAATCCATTGGCCAGAAAAAGAGGTCTTGCAAGAAAAGTAGCTTGCATCCTTCAAAAGTCACCATAATGTCAAGCATTCCCAAGTTCAACCTGCAATGGGCAACCAGAACCTTTTAAAATCTTGTCTGTCACAAACACACACACACACACACGATGGATAAGTTGGGAAGACACATCAAGATGGCAGTGCTTGTGTTCACTAAAATGAAAAGTGCATGAAAGTTTGTGGAGTGGAGAAGCTGCAAAATTCTGTTATTTTTGTGGGAGGGTAGCAGCAGTATGTGTTATTCCTTATATCACTTGGGTTATAAGGACTGGATAGCAAGCCTTGCATCACAGTGACCAGCACATTCCTACTGCAAAGGAAAGATGTGCAGGGAACACCAATTTGCCCCCCTTAAGATCACTGCCTGGACCACACACCAAATTTAAAATGGCAAAAAAAAACCCCTGCTCCTGTGAAACAAAAATGCTTGTCCATCTTACATTTTGAAGGGTGGTTTGGAATTAAGTTCCTGCTTTAACCAAATCTTATTTTAAAATGCTGGCATTTCAAATATAGGTGTTCTTCGGATTCAGCCCATCTCTAGGTTGATCGTGTCATAAATAACAAAAAGAAGCCAAGGCTGGTCTAATCTCATAACAAGTAAAGCAACAAGGAAAAATCAGCAGCTAGCTACAACATTAAGTATTTATGCATTTAAAGTGACACACACAAACACCACTCACAAGTGACTCCTTACAGCAGAGATGCATCAAGCAACCAATTATCATCAACAGGCTAATAATCAAAAGTGGTTTGTTCAAACTTTTTTTTCCCTTATAGTACTTTGATATTTCATAGGAAAATAAAAATACATGGGACTTCCTGTCCTTTGTATGCATTCTTTTGCAAATTCTTACAAAAAAGGACGAAGCACATAAGTAGGCATTCACAAGTTCTATGCCTTTTTGTGTTTAAACAGTTATCTTCTATACATTATGTTACAATATTAACAATGGGTTTTGTTTCGTTTTTCTACCCATTGGGTAGGATATGTGCATAATATATTCATGTTATATACAGCACCCTTAAAAATCAAAATTGAAGAGACGGATGACCAAAAAAAGCACCATTTTCAGTGAGGCACAACAAAGCTGGGAGAACAGGCTCGATTCAAAGGATCACTCAAGTCACTGGGAATGTTTCTACTGATTTCAATGGCCTTTGAAGTTTCAAGCCTAGAGAGTGCAAGGGGGGTGGTTCCTGAACTTGAGGCACCTTAGTTGCTTATGAACTATAATCGTGCATACCTCCAAATGATATATTTTATACACACATGTATACATTTAAGTCATATTCCTTTCATAACGTATGGGACAAACACCGACAAAATATTTATTTATTTGAAGGGCAAAGATATGGGGTGGGGAGGGAAATGGAAATGAGATCCTAGCACATACCATGTTGTATCCAAACAAAGAACCTCACATGCCAACTCTACTTAAAGCAGCAGCAGCAATACTGCAACAAACAGCCTGATCCTACACAGAATTACATCAAATTAAACCCATGCCAATTTGAATGGAACAGACTTTCATGAATACAACTGGACGACTCAACAGCCATCATTGTCAATACACACGTTTGGTGGGACTGGAATAAAAGATTTTCCCGTAGGCCAATGGACAGTTTTCTAGCATTAAAAGGGAGTTGGATATTATTCAGTGTATTGGATTTCGAACCACCAAAATTCATGTAAGCTGGGGAAAATATTTGTGTTTGGTCTTGTTTAAGACATGTTCCAACTAGTCTCAGCACTTCCATTTGTTCTTCAGAACAGAAAGAAGCAATAAAAGACAGTATGAGAGCTTTCACCAATATATTTGTAGTTCTAACATTTGACACTGGTAGTTGTCATCACTGTAATATTATCAGAAAAAAATTAAACCAGGCAAATGAATCACCTAAAAAAGTAAAGCCACCTTCAAAACTGGCATTCAAAAGGCAATTTACCATACCACTGACTTCAGCAGGAGTATGTTCAAATAAAGTAGTGAGTAAGCCTGTCTATTATGGAAAGTCCGTAAGTGAAATGGTTAGTTTGGCCATAAAGTATACCGTTTCACTACAAGTCAATAATTGGATAATCTGATTACCTTCAGAGTGCTTTTAAGAGTATGCCCCTCGGGTGCCAGGGAAGGAGGGTACAATTCAGTGGGGGGGAGAGAATAAATCCTTATTTTGGCAAATGATGGGTGGTTCCTTTGTCAGCATAACTAAAGAATGTCATTGTCTTTTTATACCTTGTCACACAAAACTCACTTGTCTTAAGCCATTGGGGTCATCCAAATTGCAAGCATCAGTCTCCATATAGGGGCCTCTTTATTTTTAGGGAACACTTGTTTGACATAGTCCCCAAAGCCTGTAGCAAGCACTTTTCCAATATATACTAAGTAGCCTATCCATCAAGGAAAATGTATATGAATGAGCCCTGTCTCTAGGAAGACTTGGAACAACAACAATAGCATTCTATTAATTAGAGTTAATTTAGGAAGGGAAATCTTCCATGGAGTTCTAGAAAACAAGAAAAATTAAGCCTTGCTTGATGGCCTTAGCCATATATATTTTCAAATCCAATTCTAAGCACTAGTAGCAGTAGAAACTACCTGGCAGCCACAAACTTCCCCCAAGGATCATACCAGAGGACAAGAAGAAATTACTTTTGCCATGCCTCCATTCAAAGAATGGGAGGAAAATTGCATTCTTCCTAGCCAAATCTAGACAGACACATACACAAAGGTGCACATACACTTTTGAGAAAGAAAATAATGGATTTAACAGAATTTTTTAGTAATATTCGCTGGCAAGCAAACAGTGAAATGAAGGCAAAGAGCGGATTTTTAAAAAAGAAAAACCTTTGCTCATTTTTCTTTAGGAAGGTAACGATCAAAATTAAAAAGCAAGTATTGACCAAACTACACCCACAGACAAGGTAGTGATTGTGTGGTGTTGCTGATTCTGCTTCCATAGGTTCAAAAAGATGCTTTTCTACTTGCATGAATCCAAAAGTAGTCCTGGACAGGACACTTGCAAAGAAGAGAGATCTTGCATGGAATGAAAGTTCTCACACATATGCCTGGGTGGGGTATGGGGTAGCAAGAAATATAAAAAAGGACCCCTGGACGGTTTAGTCCAGTCAAAGGCGACTATGGGGTTGCTGTGCTCATCTCACTTTCAGGCTGAGGGAGCCGGCGTTTGTCCACAGACAGCTTTCCAGGTGGTGTGGCCACATGACTAAACCACTTCTGGCACAAAGGAACACCGTGATGGAAACCAGAGCACACTGAAACGCCATTTACCTTCCCGCAGCAGCAGTGCCTAATTATCTACTTGGCACTGGCGTGCTTTCAAACTGCTAGGTTGACAGAAGCTGGGACAGAGCAACGGGAGCTCACCACCATCAAGCAGATTCAAACCACTGACCTTCCGATCAGGAAGCCCAAGAGACCCAGTAGTTTAGACCACAGCACCACTCGTGTCCCAGCAAGAAATATATGAACAAGAAGAACATATGAAAAGAAGAAATAACTAGAAGTAATCACCTGACCAAATACTTGTTGCATTCTCGTGACAAACACTTCTGCCTTTTACCAGCTCCTCTCAAATTTGTAGCTCTAAGGGCAAAAAGGCTTAATTAGTTGATTTATACCATTCAAAAAATCCATACCAAACCTCTGGAATAGTATAGAAAAAGTTTATAAAATCTGAATAGACAGGACATTCAATGTATCTACAAAAGCAAATATTGAAGTGATATATAGAAATTCCATTGGCTTCACTACACTGCCATTTGGAAATTATGTCAAAATAACAACTTGAACAATTCTGTGCATTGCACATCATTTTAGAGACTTTTTTTTTTTACTGAGTTAAGTGTTCTAATATTTTCAAAGGGTTCCGCCATCCCCAGCTACCTCCATGCCTATAAAGCAAAGGTAGCATTGTTTCACAACAAAGTTTCCCTCCAAATTAAAAAGATATATAAATGAAGCTTATTTTTTACTAAAGCTATCCAAAAGTTGGAATATGAGAGATGTTGTAGCAAGGGGTTTGATTTGTATGGGGGGAGGAAACACCTCTGCCTCCCTAGTTTAGTCTGTAGCTTGAAAAACATTAAATGCCTAAATATTACGATTCTGTGTCATACATTACACAGGCACAAGAACAAAAATAAATTATGGTGTGATAAAACAGTATTTTCAGAACAGCAAAGTGATCTGGGGTTTTTCTTGGCCAAGGAGCATGCAGTTAACTGAACAGTATGAGATCTCTTGGACATATGAAACTGCAGGGGCAGTTTTGAGTTTCTGCATGCATGATGTTTCAAAACAAGAAAATAGAATTTCTAGCAGTCATGCTATAGTGCAGCTTCAGCGGACCGAAGACTTACTGCATCCTGATGACACCACCTGCCCCTGTTGATTTAGCATTATCATGCCAAAACAAGAAAAGTGGTACCAACCAGAAACAGTATCTGTTTGTTGCACATTACAAGTCACTGTTCTGGAATGTGTCCACTGAGCTGATGCTCAAGACTGCCATTTTGATTAGCAAGAATAAATGTGAAGACTGGTAAAGCTCCTGTGTGGTTTGCATATGTTAGTATCACTCCAAACACACAAATCTAGATGCATCTTTAAATGTTCTACATACAAAGAACTCATTGTGCAAAGTGGTGTGAGGTTATGGTATACAAGGAATGCCCCTATTTCATAAACATATCCAATCAGTATTTTGTGTAAAGGAACTGGAAGACATAACAGATGTAACTTAATTTCATGCCCAACACCGAACAAGTAGCAATGAAGCCCTGAAAATGTACATGGAGTGCAATGAAATAAGTAGCTCCTATTGGTACTTTCTTATAACACTTAACTTTCACTTTTAAACTGCACAATTAAAAGAGTCCTAAAACAACTTCTCAAATTTAGGCTAAATTATCTTACCACCTTAAGCCCCTCAGTTCACCATTTTCACAAGTGAAGAAGTTGTGAGCTAGTTCTGAGCTAGAATTCTTCTAGAGTTCTCAATAGGAATCGCCACATAAACCTTTATCATTTCCTTCCTAGGAAGAGGCATTTATAACATTTTAAATAGTGATCCCATATATGCAGGCCTTTAACAAAAGTGTTGAATAAAGTCTGTTAATACTAGCGAATTTTTCTCTCCTCCACAGGAGAAACGGAAGATAACACTGCAAATTTTGAAAGAACTCGATTTAGATACAATTGATTTTCAAAACCAATTAAAGAATGCTGCAAAATAGTTTAATCTGTACTAAACTAAAAGCAATCTTAAAAATCAAGTGTTCCTTGATTGTACATGGTCTCAAGCCCTAGTTGAAATAAGCTTGAGAGGTGAAAAAGGAAACTATTTTTTGCATTATTCTCCTGCATAATATCTGACGTTTGGGGGACTGCCACACACTAACAGAAAAATGACAAGGGATAATCCTCAAAGTTGGGTTTCAGTCCCCTCTTGCATATAGTCTACAATAAAATGGAGCAGCCAGTTTCCACACATCCTTTCTGTCATAGGTTGGTTTGAGCATTGTGTGTGTCTCTATAAAGAGAAGATGCTCCCTTCTGAATGATGCTAAACATGAAAAGGTTTGGGACCTTGATTTTGTGGTCTATACACACTTTTCATGTTTCATATTGCTAGCCTTTGGGCAGGACCAGCCCCACCCTGACACAGAGACAGCCACTTCAAGCAGCTGATTTTGGATGAACTGAAAGGGCAACAGTCTGTCTGTGTGCTTTTAATGTTAAGGAGAGGGACTACCTCAGATATCAAAATAATCTTGACCAGCTTTTGCTATTATTTGCCAAGACTTGGGTGCAATATTTGGGAGCAGGCCTCTGTAGCGCTTGTCTGAGGCCGGAGGTGGGAGTCTTGTTGGAATAAAGTTATAAACTCAAACAGTGTAGGTCCAGCAGGCTGCTGGTGAGCCCCCCCTCCCAAACCCGAGGCCTGGGGCAAATGTATCTGGCTCCCCCACACACACACTACATGGGCCTGCTTGGGAGAGCACTTGTTTTCAGATGTAGCGTTGATGAGATTTTCAGCTTAGAACTGATTTTTTGAAGTCATCCTGCACCAAGTCAGGATTTGTTTTGATTTAAGAAATTATCTTGCATTTTAAACATAGCGATCCACCCCTTGACATCCCTTCCCACCTCATTCAAGAATATCTGTCCCCCCCAAAAAAAAGAATCCATGCCACATTAAGTCTTGTCCTGAAGCAAGTACAAAGGATGCACAAAGCAGCACATTAGAATTTACGCACTTCTAAGCTCACTAGCAATTCTCATCCAAGATGCTAAACAAACTTTGTTCTCATTAATGAACCTGGGATCAAATTCATTATGTCAGGAATGCCCTTGCAGGTGCGAAAAAGGACAGCAACAAAGGAGAAACGTCTCAATACTCACAGATGCAGCAAAGGAAAAAGGAGGAAAGAACCCAACAGCCAGCCAAGCAGAGATTGTCCCAGCTCAGGAAGACATTAATGTGGTCTCATATATTTAAGTTGGAGATTATGTATAAATGAGAAAGATGTTTCAGCCTTGATACTGCTTAGACACATAACGATGGGCCATCTCAGGGGTAAGCATCTGCTCATGAATATGCATATATCTTTAAGCCCTCACGCCAAATGCATGAACGATGTAGAGCTTTCTGAAATAATAAAACCCTTTGAACAAACACAGGAAATCGGGGGAGCTCAGGAACTTGTGGCAGCCACCTAGAAATAATCCTAACCCTCTGCAGATCAGTGCTTAAACTTAACACTAGACCAAATCCAACAGCATTACCTTTTATGGAATACATTCTTGGCAAAGCAGGGAGGAAATTTGGAGTCCAGGTGATCTAATGCCAACACCTACTTGCCCATCGGTTGATCCAATAAGTACCAGTTTAGCGTCAGCTGAGTTCCAATTAACGACTGCTGAAATGCAAAGACCTTAGAGGTTTGAATAAATTATCAGATCATACAACAGGAGAAACTTTCTACAGATGCAAACTAATTTAACCCATGTGTAAACTTTAAATCCAAATTATAATATAAAGGTATGCCCCATCTCTAACCATTTAATTCTGTAATATTAAGTTCAGAAACATCTCACTTGGAAATCACATTAGGCAGGAGCTGAAGAACAGCTGGTCATTTAGTCTCACTGAACAGAGTCCAGTGGATATTATTAAATGGATACTACTAAATCACCTTATAAGCTTATCTCCCTTGAAAGGAACAGCATTCACAAAAAGCAAGAACTTCAATATAGCCGACTTGTAGTGGCTGTTCACACAACTAAGCTATCACGAGATATTTAGTTAACACATGACAGACAGAGGTATGCAAGTCAGCCTCGCTTACTTAGATGAGAAAAAGAGCTTTTAAATCATGGCTACTTTAGGACAATGAGGAAGTGGGCTCTGGTCAGCTCACAAAAAGCTTCTGTGGTTTTAGATTATTAGCTAGACTGTCCCTCAAGCTAGTCATCAAGTTCACAAGCCACCTTAGATTAATGAAAGCATATTTATACAGAGAAAACATCTAAAGCACAGATACACCACACATGCTGATTTGGCATAAAAACTCTGCATAGATCAGAGACTCCGTTCGGCAATCAGGTTTCAATCTTAAATTCCTTTAGTTTGTGAAGTTCAACAGAAATCCAAACTTCATCAAGCTGAGCAAGGGCTACAGTGCAGCTCATTACAATAGTTGGTGCACCTGTCAGCTGTTCGAGTTTGCAAAATGGTGCCCTTAACGACTATATAAAAGGGAGACTTCCAAGGGAAATCTTTGCCATGCAGCTAAAACTCTCTCAGGAATATCAAAATTTAAGACGCTTTCTTTTAAAGTTCATTTGTTAACTGCATTTGAAGTACCTGTTTGTGCTTTGTGTGTGCTTTGTTTTCACAACCAGTCCCCTTTGGAATACCTTCCAATTTCATTTGCAACACAGGTGATCAATCACAGAATGAAATACAAATTCACTGGGATGCCTTAGGCTGCATCTTCTTTAAAAAATTAATAATATATATGGTACAGTTCTAAATGATTTTCAAAAACATGACACAGCATGATCCTAAAAACAAGTTTACACAACTGTTTGCACACTCGACATAAACCAGTTCAGATCAGTGCATGAAGACATGATTAACCAATTACAAAACTGATTAACTCAGATTCCCAAACAATTCCCCGTAGCATTCTAATGGTGCAAGCTCTGCAAACAACCGCTTTAGCATTGTCAAACTAGCAGAAGAAATGGAAGCTACTAGGGAAAGGCCTTACAGAGGTCTGATCTAGCACACAAAAGATAATAGGAAAAGCACAACAAAAGTGCAATTTAACAGCAAAAACTCATAATGTATGTTTAAACCATTTATTGTAGGATGTCAGGCTATGCAACTGATTATGGGCTCCAGTGAAGATAAAAATCTGCAGAAGCTTTAGGTAACAAGGACACTGCATTATTATTATTTTTTAAGAGAGGGGGACAAGCAATAAGATTTAGTAATAATCACACACAAAAAGGTAAATGCATCTGGCATTTTTATCTGCTTCTAGTTAAACAAATGGCTTATAGCAAAAACCACCTAAAGGAAACGTCTGTAATTTCACATTTGCTTTCTTCCACTCATAAATTTCTAAGACAACTTGCCAATGTCCCGTTTGAATGCAAAAATTATTGCAAAGGGTAACATGTTAAGATGTCTTTTGCTGTTTATTTATTTATGGAAAATGGTAAAAGATCTGATTAAATCAAAGTCCCCTTTCAATGATTAATCAACAGAAGCCTAGACAAATTTCTGAAGAGGGTTCCTAGGGGCTAATCATTATTCCACAGGTGAAAAGACAACATATAGAAGAACTTCATGTAAAACAGTTCTCATATAGTGCAAATTTAATACACTTGTATCACAACACAAATTAACTCCTCGTATTCATCTAGGTTTTTCCCTAACTTTATACCTTGGCACACAAAACAGAAATGCTGAGTCAGATAAAAAATTCACACTTCTGGGAGGGCGGGGTAAGGATAGCAAACTGGCCAATTTTGCCCCCATTTAACTAGTAACCCTTTCTTGTCCTCTTCTTTTAGCCATTCACTCAATATAAAACTGGCTGTGTAAGCCATATTTCTGTGCTAAGTTACCTCTTATAATTAAATAAATTCAAATAGTTTATTTAAAATAATAATAATATATTCCCCCACCCACCCCCAAAAAGAAAAGAAAAGTAGAACACTGCTCATGGCCAAACTGAATGGAAGGTTGTAGTTGTTTCAAACCACTTTTCATGCAATTCCCCTGAAAGGAATCAGAAACAACAGCTTTGCACGTTTGGTTTTACGAAACCGCATCACATGAAACTTAAAACAATATTGTGCACAGGGGCATAGAAACTTCTACCATGCTCCTGCTTGATTCTTCCATCTCTTCAAGTGCATATGGAAAAGGAAACTAGACAAGGTTTCCTGGTTTCCTGTCTTTGCCTTTAATTGGGACTATTGTGCTCTCCGAATTGTTCTGTTGAAACTGAAGTCTGCTCCCCCTATGTGACGAAGGAGGGGCGTTGCTTTGCTGGTGATGGAAAAAAGAGGAACCTGGGTAATGCCCCATGACCTCACTGTAAGTCGGGGGTGGTCCTTCCATCCTTCCATTACTGCTATAATTGGTTGCACTTATGCCCGAATTGCTGCTTGGTGGGCACGGGCCCCCATTGTACATTGAAATGTCTATCAAGTCGCTGTCAAATATAGTTCTGTTGGGTGGTGCCCTCACAGATTCTCTGTTGAGTTCCATCTGTTGTTCTGGGTCCCGAAGCTGCAGAGTGCATGGCCCTTGGTATGGTGGCGGCTCTTCACCATCGGAGAGGGAGATAGTAGGAGGGAGGTCAATCTCGTGCTGCATGTATGGGTAGGTTGGCTGGAAGCGGCTGAAATGTTCCCTCTGCATAAAGGATGGAGCAGTAAACCTGTCTCTGGACCGTGGGGCATACATGATCTGCAGTGTGAAGGAGGAGGCATCAACTAATCAATAAAGTTAAAACCTAGTTCACACATGTATTAGACATACTCAGTACAGGACACATAACAGGTGTGGGGTAGAATAACGTGGAAGCAGCATCATAAAGGGTTATTTTCCTGGATGATATTCTCCAAGATGTCTTATATAACCCAAGCATCTGGGCCAAGGAAAAGGGCACGGATGAGTTTCAGTCATAGGACAAGACTTCTGCAAACAAATTAGATTTAACCAATCAGACAAATTGAATGAATTCTAAAACTTAGGAAACTTCTGATCCAAAATTATATTCTCCAGTGGGTCTTTGATTCGATTCCTTGAACCCTAGCCAGTGTACAACACCTGAGGAGGACCTGTGGCCCAAGGAGCTCTACATAGTGGTACCTTGGTTTACGAACTGAATCTGTTCCGGAAGTCTGTTCTTAAACCAAGGCGTGCTTTCCCAAAGAAAGTAATGCAAAATGCATTAATCCGTTCCAGACTTTTAAAAACAACCCCTAAATCAGCAATTTAACATGAATTTTACTATCTAACGAGACCATTGATCCATAAAATGAAAGCAATAATCAATGTACTATACTATAAAATAAAACAGTATTGTGGATGATAAAAATGAAAACTAAAAAAATTTCTTACCTGCACTGATGATAGTCATTGTTTGGATGGGGGGGCTTTTATCCATTTCCGCAGTCACACAACCAATCAAACAGTAGCCGAACTGGGATCCACACAGATCCCCACCCCCCAATGCTGCTGTGGGAAATGCTCCCTAGAGTGCGCGCCTCCCGCAGCGGCATGGGGGGGGGGAGCTGCGCACCTGCAAACCAGCTGGCTGGCGGGCACGCAGCTCCCCTCCCTCGTGGCTGCGGGAAACACCATGATGACCGCTTTCTCCACTGTCGGACAATGGAAGTGTGGCACTCAAAACGGAAGTGCACTCCCAAACAGAGTACGTTCGATTCCAAAAAGAGTTTGTTAACCAGAACACCTTCTTCCAGTTTTGAAGTGTTTGTATTCCAAATTGTGAACTAGGCTGTTCATAGACCAAGGTAACACTGTACAAACCACTTCCTCTCTCAAAGATCCCACTTATTTTAGGAAAACTGTGTGGAAATCTACACACTGGAAGCATAGGCACTAGGGGTGTGGGGTGCCTGGGTGCCGGGTTCTCAGGGGCGCCAGACCGAGAGTCCGGGGCCCAAGAGTTGAGTCCAGAGAAGAGCCTGTCCGTTGGTCGGAGCGCCACGGTGGGCTCTTCTGCTGCGGGCGGCTCTGCGCTGTGAGTTCGGAGACACTGAGGCAGCCGGCTCTGTCCTCCTGCTCACCTGGGACTGGATAACCTGGGGGGGGCAGATCTTTGCACCCCAGCACCACATATGCTTAAGACTTGAAGTTAAGTTGAACTGACAGAAATTGACTGCAAAACTGCAGTCACAGCACAAGGGGGAAATATGTGCTATTAACAAAAACGTAGTTTCTGGAAGTTCTGAAGTGTGAATGAGAGCTTACCTCGGAAGCTCCCCGACGTGAAGATGAGCTGTCGGAAGGCCACAAACACCCCTCCTAGCACAAGAGAGAAAAGGAGAGAACACTTAGCTTCTGAACAAGGTTTCTTATTATACTTTCATGATATTAATGTTCAACATCCTAGTCAACTTCACATCATTCATGATTTGCTCTAATATTTACATACTCAAAGAATTAGGATATATTTATTTTCTCCAACGGCAGATACAGTGATTCAGTTCCAATTAAGCCAATGGGCCTGGCCTACTAGTAAATGAAGCCTAAGAGCCCAACCCTGTGTGCATTTGCTCCGAAGCAAGTCCAACTTAGTTCTACAGAACTTACTTCCCAGTAAGTGCACAACATTCCAGTCTATGTCAGTTTACACCTCCAGTTTAATTAAACTGGTCTTGTAACACAATCCAGTGAATACACACTCTGAATAAAAGTATTCTCTCTTTTCCAGCAAGCCTGCCACTTGCCAAAGGGAACATTTAGAAGATACTTATTTTGTCTTACCAGTTTCTAAAAGTACCATACATAAAAACTAAAAACCATCTAAAAGAAGTAGAAGATGGCTTGTAAAACCAGTAGTTGCAGGTTTTATCTGACAACAAAGTGCATGAAAATCGCACTCAAATATGCTAGTTGACATGCAATGGGGCTTTTTGATCCAGTTTCCGTGGAAACTCAACTGCATCAATGAAAATAAACTACGGTAAAGATTTTCTAGCACTATATTTGTAGATTCTCTCTAATCTCTGCCCCTTCTTTATGCCTGACTCCAATATTTCTGTGGATCATTCCTTCTGTTATAATATTCCATTTTTTATTTTTACTGATCAGCCCATCAGGAAAACTGAGGCACAAACTTTAATCCAACTAGAGAGAAAGAGAAAGAAAGAGCTTCCATCTTCAGATTTGTTTCCATCAAAGCTATGAATATGAAAATGTTCATTTAGGATTATCCCAAGTCAGAATCTTCATTTTGTGTTTACATGGCTAGAGCCCCTAAGGCCAAGAACCCTAACTGGGCAGGAAGGAGGGAGCACATAAAGGTCGCTGCTACGCTACAAACTTCACTGTTTCTAGCTAAGGTCCCAATATTGACACTCCTAACAAAGTTAATTATCCCAAGGTGAAATGTACTCTTTGTGTAAATAAACCCATTATTGAAGTGAGGTAATGGTTTGTTATCATGAAAACAAGCTCATTTAAATCTGCTCAGAAATAGAATTTTGCCAGGACTGTCTCTTGGTCCTCGATCTGGATCCAGCTCTTTGCGCTCACCAGTGGGAGCAAAGTACAATGCTAATTGCACTAAACAGGCTGTGGTCCATCTGTCGTTAAGAATGCTGTGGGTGGTTTTTTAACACACTGCTTTGATGCTAAAGATGGCATGAATAGACCAAGTCGACACAGCTTAGGATTTCTCCTTAGTATTTGAACAATCTTATGTGCATCCCTCACCTACTTCACCGTAGAAATCAATGTTTAAATAGGTACTTGCTTGGCCTCCATGGCAATAAACCAATTTCTCCCCACCCAAAAAAACAAAAAGCCTGAGAGGAATCTTGCCCATCCACACTCCTGAGAAATGAAAGACACATACAGCACGCATAGCATTCCAATGCATTTCCCCAATGTAGAAGGCCCAGAAGAGCAGCTCAGGGACTCCTCAGCTTTCTTCATTTCTTGGCAGAGGAAAGCAGGCTCACGGCATTCCTAGTGCCTCCCATTTCCTGGATGGGAAGACCCTATCAGCTGGGTGGCAAAATGGGGTAGATTTTCCATGGAAACTTTTCAGTTTCTTCAGTTCAATGCAGGATGCCAATCGCAGCTTCAAAATTAGCTTCATTTATACCAAATCCAGGTAGAATAAACATGTAAAATTTGATCACCCTCTAGGGTGGCAGAAAATTCCACAATGCGAAAATCCAAACTACTCTTAATTTCTATGGGACAATTTCCCCTCCAAAACCCAACATCACAGCAGCTGAGAAGTGGTTTCTGTGAACATCTCCTTCCCCCAGAGAAAGAGTTGTGACACACAATTGCAGTAGTATATTAAGAAAAAGAGCAGGTGAGCTGAGCAGAGGGTGGGTGGCAAGTGAGAGGGAGACACCCTAGTTCATATTTGCAAAACTACCTTAAAATGGGTTCCATCATAATTTCTTCAGGTCTCTGTTGCATTTACAGTGCCTGCTGTGATTGTGGTTGCTGCTGCTGCAGTTTCCTACCACTTCTCTCTACATCTCTTATTCCCTTTTCTCTTTAGTCCTAGTCTCTGGCCAGAGATTTCTGATTGAAGAACTGTACCCATAAAGCATCCTCTGCTAATGAAATTAAGGAAAATTCAGAAGTAAGCCCAAAGGCTAAAACAACCAAGCGCCTTCCAAAAAGTCAAAGAGAAGCAGGTGCTGCTCACAAAAGAGGCAGTCCAGGTCTAAGATGCTCAAACCAGAAAATTAATGTCACGGCAAGGCCCCAAATTAGCTGCAAATACTTGTAACTGTACTCTTTCAAGACACAACAATAATTCAAATCAACTGTCTCAAAACCTGTAATTCTTAATACTTCTTGGCCTCATACAGATGCAATGGATTACATAAACCATGGTTTACTGGCCCAGGAGCCTGCAAGCTCACATTCCCTTACTTGCTCCAGTGAAGCTATCTTAGTTTTTAAGGATACAATCCTGCACCCATGTACCTAGGAATAAACCTCGTTGATTCAATGGGACTTGCTTCCAAGAAGATAAGTATGTGATTCATAGACTCATAGAATCCTATAGTTGGAAGAGACTCTGAGGATCATCTAGTCCAACTCCCTGCAATGCAGGAAAATCCAGCTGTCCCATCCGGGGATCAAACCTGCAACCTTGGTGTTATCAGCACCATGCTCTAACCTACTAGCTATCCAGGCTGTGATTGCACTGTAATCCATAATTTGTCTATTTGAATGTCAAGGGAAACTAGTTGAAGAAACAAGGAACTCTGTGGTGAAACAGGGCATGTGAGGAGCAGGGGGTGGTGTGCGAGTTCCCAGGCTCATAAAGCATCATTTGTTGGGCTGGGATAGTTATGCCTCAACTAGGCCATTGGGAGTTTTCCAAACTGACAATTTTATGGGCAAAACATTTTGGGGAGGGACACTGTTAGGGTGTGACCCAGGGGGCTTGAATCCAAGGTCTTTTGCACCTGGCCCTGAATCTCCCGTCTCTTCTTAGCCTTTATTTTTTTGATTAAAAAAAACTTTTAAAATTGCATTGCTTTACAAGGCAAATTCTCCTCTGGAAGCTGACCTAAATTTGCATCTATAAATATAAATTAACATATGCAATTTGTATCAAGGGCCTGTGCACTGAGTCATGCTTTTGGGATTGGAAGCTACACAATTTTACAGAGCTTATATCTGCTAGTTAAAGGAACTTATAAGAGGAACAACAGCAGAAAGTCAAGGTGTACCACTTAGAGACCGACTGTGCATCCAAACACCACTTCCCTATTACATAATTAAAAAAAGGAAGAGATTTTCGTTCTTTCATCTCATGTTCTACTGACTGAGCTACTGAAAGGTGATTTATCAGAGGTGCTTTTTACACACTTGGATCCTGGTCTCCTTCAATTATTAACTTTTAACTCTATTTCAAAAAGAGATTCCACTGGGGGGGGGGAATGAAGCACATTTAAAACCTCATTTCTGTAATGCACACACATATACCGATGGCAGGACAGAAGCTCAAAAGTGGCAAGTGTGAAATTAGTCTATCACCTTGCTCAAAAGGGAGATATTTACGGTACATAGCTTTATATTCTACGCATGTCATGCCTTTGGTGTCAGGAGTAAAGTCAAAGTAGATATTCAGCCACACACACACACACACACACACCCCTGGGCTCAAGATCAGGCAAAGCAAGCAGAAGCCATGAAGACCAAGATGCAAAAGTTGTCACGTCTCTCAAAAGATAACGCAACACACGTGTTCCTCTGATTGAATAAAAAGTGTGATAATGGTGCATTGCTATAATTACATTAGAAATACAATAAGCAAAAGGATACATATAACAATAACTTTCCCACTGCATTCGCAAGTAATGGGGTTTCTGTGTCATTTTTCCATTTTTTCTCTAGGTGGCAGCAAGAGGCCAGATATGTCTGATTTCAGGATGATGCTGAACATGGTCCCTGCACACAAGGTCTGCACTTTTTACCTGGTTATAGCCTAGCTGTGCTTTGGGACAAAGAAACGAGAACAGGGCAGACCAATATATTTCTTAATGACACCAAACAATTCCTCTTCAAAGCAGAGCATAAGCAATGCCACAGTGCATCCTACACTAGAAAGAGACAGGCAAGTACAGGCAGGATTCCATTAAAAGCCACACATGACAAATTCAAAGAGAGAGAAAATAGCCTTTAAAAAAAGCAAACCAACAAATAAAATAGCAAGAAACACACTTGGGGGGGGGGTCCAACCAGTGGAAAAATGTCCTGACAGTTCAAAATAAGCAGAAAAACAACTAAGTTAGGACCACTAAGTTTTACAACTTTTTGCATACTCAAATCTTCCTCACTTCTTTTTACCGAGCAGACACAGGACAAATATTTGCTATACTGTACAGTATAACGTAAGTAAGAAAGATTATCAGAAACGTCTATGAAATTGCCCGGGGTTACCATGACAAACCAGCCTTTCCAGACTGTGCTACATCCATAAAGAAACACTTAGCCTGTATCATGGCACACCTTAAATCCTGACAGAACTCCCCCCCCCCTGCATGTTGTGCCCAGCAACTTTAAGCAGGCGCATTTAGATTTTTTATTTCCGTTTTATTGATTACTGTATGTATGCAACTGACCGATTTGATTGGTTGATTAGATACAATAATTCAGCTTCAGAAACAAATCCTTGAAAAGATACTAAGCCATGCACAGGGTCTTCCAGTTTACAAAAGCTTTGCCTTTTAGGAAGAGATGCTAACTTACCACAAGCAACTAGGCTTGTGGCTGAAGTTGTAGCAGCAGTAACAAAGAATAATACTTTTCCAACTCCCTTTGGTTTTAGAGGCCCACCTATGTCACTGGAGCTTCAGAAAACACCCTTCCTGTCCCGCTCCCAGCAGTCAAGAAAACTTCCAAAGGGAAATGTTACTGCACAATTATTGTGAAGTTCTAGTTCTGTAAAAACCTAGGAAACATTTTTATGAAACCGTTTTGGGGGAAAGAATATTATGGAAAGAATGTATTTTGGCAATACACAAACAGCAAGACACCTGCTAGTTCTCTTAAATGACACAATATACGTCACTATACAATGGCTTACAGCAAGAGTATGCAGCGTGGAACAAAAGATGCATGTTTCTTCTTGCCTGTTGGGCAATCCCATTATTTATTACCACTGTAAAGTAGATCATTGATTACAAAGCTGTCACAGATGTTTTACCTGAACTTCAATCCTGGCATCATTGAACTAAACCCTGGCAAGTTTCTCTAAACACATTATTTCATCATCATCATCATCCCCTCCCCTCCCCTCACTTCACTCAGGGCAGGTTACAGTTAAAACACAATATTAAAACAGTACAAAACAACATATAATCACAGAAAAAGCTGGGCCCTCAAAAATATACATCTCAAGTGTCAAAAGCCAAAGTAAAGAGGTGAGTCTTCAGCATTCACTGAAAGCTGTATAAATGAAGGTGCCAGGCAAATCTCTGCAAGGAGGGAATTCTACAACTTTGGGGCCACCACAGAGCATGCCCTTTCCAGGGGCACTCTCCCCCCCCCCATTGAGCTTGAGAGGGCATGGGAACTACCTCTCAGGTACTAAGATCAGCAGAGAGGGTTCTAATGGCCACAACAACAGAAACTTCTGCAAGCAGGAAGCCTTTGCACATATGGCTGAATGTGCAAAGACTTCCTTCCTAAAAAAACATTCAGTCGTCAGGGAGCAAGGCTAGAAACAGCACCTGAAGATACAAAGGACAGGATTCAAACAAAATGAATTTCTCTTTGGGTTAGTTTTTTGCCAAGGAGATAAATATATAAGCAAGAAAAGGTACTGACCCAGTTATACCATTTCACCTATTCTGTTTTAGCAGTAGGCATTAGTTCACTGTATAGAGCATGCAGAAGATCCCAGATATCAGAGCTTGGGAAAAACCTCCACCAAAGAGCTGCTGCCAGCCAAAGTAGACAATGCTAAGCTAAATGGATGAATAGTCTGACTTCATAGGAGGCATGGTTTCCATGTTCATATAGTGATTCTGTTCAAAACTGCTCAAGCAGCATGTTTCTCTCCACCACCCCTAGACAGTGGGGCATCTTGGAATTGTACAAGAAAGAGCTGCAGTTATTAGAGGCAGAACTGGTGGAGCAGTTCAAAGTAGCAAGAGAAAAAAGGAACGAATCTTGCATTTTTCTAAGGAATATTAAACGTGGAATCAGAAAGGGAATATTCAGAATTTGGAGGTAAGGGGAGGAGGGAAAGAAAAGACTGCCTAGCCCTAACCGTACAACTACACTAGAGATAGCCAGAAAGACTTTTGCTAAATTCACTCAACTCTGCCAAGAAAAGTGACTGTTTTCTTTCATATATGTCATATTTTTAAATCTTGCTCCCCCTCACCCAAGACTCTGAGGCTTCTTCTGTTAAGGAAGCTGCAGCGGCTTTCAGGCATTATTAGTCAGCAAACATTCTAAATCCGGAATCAGGATATGCACACACATAATTACTTTCCCCACAATCAACTACCCAGTCATTATCACCAATTAAAAAGAAATAAGGCCTTCAAAATTCTTTAAATAAAATAAAAAGATTGACAATTTAATAGAATTTTAAAGGGTTGTTTGTTTTTTGCTGTTGTTTTTAAGCACGATTTTACAATACATCTCTGTAACTGCTTTTTCCAATTCCGTCATCTTAATCAGACAACATAAAGGCCTAGTCACTGGAGGCTTCCGGTTCACGGTGGTTGTTCAAGATCTAAGCAGAGAGGCAGATAATATCTAATTCGTTGGATACTTGATACCTCTCAGTCACTAAGGATGGCCACAGTTAAAACTTCCTTTTAGATTCTGAATACAACCAGTGAAAGAAATGCCAGACTGAGAGCGCAGATCACACCTGATTACTTCAACCCAACCTGATTACTACAACCCAAATGTCTACTACAGAGAACAGCTGCGCACTCCATGCAGCAATACATTTGCTACAAACACACTGGCGCTTCCTGGAAACACATTAAGGGTGTGGAACATACATGTGCACTATCATGCCAATAAGTGCACATCTGGATAGCCCAGTCTAACCAGGACTTCTAGGCATGATTACGGGTACGTAACATTACACACCCATTCATACTTTCTTTTCCTGTAGGTGTATTCTAGTCAGTTCTTTAGCCCTTATATGATCTTGTTGATTAAGAAAAGTTGCATTTATTACAGTTGCATGTGTTTTTTTGCATAGCAGTAATGCCAGGGGTAGAAAACAACCACCCAAGAAGAAACTGCAGGTTTCTCTCCCCACCCCCCACCCCAAACATACATACATACATACATAGTGTAGTGGCCATGGAATTTGCATTGCTGTTCTGAAGCCCAATTCACGCTGGCCAGACTTGAGTCAACAACTTATTTCATTCAGCTGGCAGAAGTTCCCTTATATGTAGAGAACAGGTCACACAACTCATTTGCCATGAGACAAGGCTGCCAGTTTGGCATGCAGAAAGACAGACCTCCAAAAACCTGAGAATCCTTTAAAAAATAGCCTTAGTTCAGTAAAATTATGGCTAAGTGCCCCAGGATTGCTAAACATGACTAAGATTAAAAACAAAACAAAAAAAGTACTTGGCAATATTAACAATGGGGGAGCACCAGTCATACCTTCCTCTGTGAATGGCCTCCACCATTTGAAGAGTCATGGGTAGTGCTGGATCAGAAAGACCCAGATCCAAATCCCCAGTTAGTCATGGAGCTCCCTAAGTGGCTGTAAATTCTTTCTCACCCTAATCTACCTTGTGAGGATATAAGGAAAAGCCCAATGAATGACCCTCGATGGCAGTGGAGATGGATGAGCTACAAAAATGTGATACAAAAGCAAGGGCCTTCACACTTCTTGAATGAAACAAAGCCAAGCACAGCCTTTAAAATGCAGAAGGATTTTAAAATTCTGCTAACTTTTCTGTAGTAAATCAGCAAGCACAGAATTTATTAGAGATAGAATACAGAGGCCCTTTTACCAGCTTCCAATGATTTGGTGGCCTGGATAGGTCGGCCGTGCCAGGGCGATTCATGCTCTAGTAACTCTTGGTTGGATTAATATGTGTTATATGTGGGACCACACCAGTCAACCACCTGGAAGTTTCGGTTAGTGTAGAATTTGGCCATCAGAATTCTTACGGTTACAACCACAGCACTCATATCTTCTGAAAGTACAGTGGTACCTCTGGTTGCGAACGGGATCTGTTCCGGAGCCCCGTTTGCAACATGAGCAGAATGCAACCCACGTCTGTGCGTGCGCAGGTCGCGATTCGTCGCTTCTGCGCATGAACGTGACGTCATTTTGAGCATCTGCGCATGCGGCGAAACCCGGAAGTAACCCTTTCCGGTACTTCTGGGTCGCCGCGGGACGCAACCTGAAAAGATTTAACCTGAAGCAAATGTATGAAGAGGTATGACTGTATTACAAAGACTAGCATATTCTCAAGAGCACAATTTAAGGTGCTGGTTCTTATACTTTGGGATCCAGATATCTGAGGAAGTACCTGTTCCCATTCCAGCTTGCCCGTGTCTTAAGATCTTCTGTTGAGGTCCTTCTCCAAGTAACCTTTTTTAACAGAGATATGTTATGTAGTAACAAAGCAGAGGACACTTTTTGTGGTGGTGCCCCAATTGTGAAATGCTTTCTCAAAGGAGACATGTCTGATGCCAACATTTTTAATGCCAGATTAAGACTATTACATTCCTATTTGCCCAGGAATGTTAGATGGTCATAAATGTTATTCTTTTCTTCTACTATCAATGTTTCTTCACATATGTTATATGTATTTGTTGTGTAAATGGTTCTCACACTTTTGTATATTGCCCTGGAATGTTCTCATGCAAGGCGGTTAAGAAATATCTGAACACAATTTCCTTTTTTTGTCTTTTTCCTGGTGACCAGTTGTTTGCCTGTAAACTCCAGGTGGCCCTGCCAAGTGAGGTGTGACTGGTGGCTACAAGCGAGAAAGACTTTTGTTGCTGGGATCCTATATGTGAATGTTCTTCCTAGATGGGATTGCTTGGTTTCCAATAGTTTAGCAATACTGGAGGCTGCCCAGAGAATGTCATTATTGAGCAGCATATTAATATGGCAAATAAATAAAAGGTTTGCCACAAAACATATATTAAACCAATATGGGTAGCATGGAAGTTTCAACTCACCGGTTGTAAAGATTCTTCTTGCCTCCTGCTTTGGCTCTGCCGACTGATGAATGACCGTGTTGACACTTTATAATGGTTCAACAAGCAGATGATCACCACTATCATAACAGTTATAACCACGATTATGATGATGATCTGAACAAACTCTAGTTCAGCTGTGGGAAAAGAAAGAGAGAAAAAGTGTCACTCTAGGATAGATAAGGAGTGTTAAAAAAAGAGGAAGGTGAAACTGCAAGCTGATACCCAAAATAATCTATTTGTTGATGCATGTATATTGCTCAATAAAGTTTTTACTACAGCAAAAAAACTGATCCCAACACACTATTTCAGGGTTGAAATAGCTTTGTTTTTCCTCTCTGGAAAACACATTTCAGAATAACAAAATCTGCAAACTGGAAAGGCTAAATAATGATGCCTTTTCCCTATCTGAGGATTCCCTCTTCCCTGAATGTCTAAAAAAAAAGATTCTCTTCTGATTTTCATGTTACACAGCACAGCAAAAAAATTCAATATAAATCATCCCCGCCACCACCTTAAACATCATTTTTAAGCCTCCAAGTTAATTGATGAAGGAGAGCTTAAATAAAAAAATGCAGCAACAAATCAAGTTGAGATGCTTTTTAAAAAACTTCTTGCATCATCTAGAAATACAAATCTTCTTGCACCTTCAGTATGTCATATTGGGAAGTACACAGTGAACCGACTGCAAGGTAAGCTAATATCCTGGGTGAAAACATCCTTCAAGAAAAAGAAGTGTTTAAGTAACAACATCCTTCCTATTATTGCAATCAATTCAAGTAACTCGTCATCCAGGGGGATAGGAAGAAACCTGAACAAAATTGATAAATGAAGCACTGCTGTGCTGTCCTGCCATCCTGCTACATAAAGCTTTCTATAGAAGGTTCACATATAGACCAAAGACAGGTACAAGAAGGCATTCACAGTAGGGATTCCTATCCGGCTGGAAGTTTGACATGTGTCCAGAGTCTATTTTCATTAAGCTTGCAGAGAAATAATGATAAAAGTCCACCCACTTTTGGTTCTGGCCCTAAATTAGCTAGTCCTGGCCAAAAACCCTTTGTAGAGAAATGGTTTCCCATTCCTACATACAGGTGGTGACCATTTTGTGCAGGGGTTCCATTCCTGGCCCTCACGCATGTCGGCGGAGCAAGCAAAAGCCTGTTCAAACCCCGTTACGCCTTCTTTTGGGACCAAAAGGCCCCAAGCATTGGCAGTCATGCGTCAATTGGATGAGCACAAAATGGTCCCCATCTGTACCCAACACACTGATTTCTCCAACCTTAATGATGAGCAACATAATAACTTAAAGGTCCTTTAAGAATTCAGAAGTTACAAGCACAGGAAGCTCCAGAATTATAAGGAATGCTGTGCCACTGCCCACTTACCAGAATACTGAAATAAGTCATCGTTTATCTGTATCTAGTCTCCCATTAATATTACCACCATCACCACCACCACAGTAACAGTTCAATAAATGAAAAATGCAAGGGGAAGCTTAAATAACCAGAAGGATTCCTTTGAAGAAGAAAACCCTGAATATGTAAAGCTGTCATTAAAGAAAAAAAGGAACAAGGACTGACTTTCCTTGGCTCACACAGGAGTGTGTGTGTGTGTGTGTGTGTGCGCGCGCGTGTGCAGTGAAACCATGGTGATGAGAGATTAACCTAGAAAGTCACTGTAGTTTTACAAAGTCGCAATGCCCATAAAATGTCTTAAAGATTAAAGAAAACGCCCCAGGGTATTACAAATGTTTTCCTTTTGGAAGACATGATAATTGCTTTACACGCCTCAGATTCAATTAATGCATCAATTAAAATTATGGCACTTTGGGACAAACTTGTCACATCATTAATCTTGAAGGTTCACACCTTTAGCCATTCAAATTAACAGGAAAAACACATCAATGACAGAATAATGTACTTGTTTGTACGTGCAAGAATGAAAAGGTTTTCCTTCCATTCCGTTTCCTGTTTACAGCAAATACAAATCAAACTTCAAATATGCATGGCAAACTACAGTGCTGGACTAAGACCTGGGAGACCAGGGTTCGAGTCCCTCCTCAGCCATGAAGCTCACTGGTGCCCTTGGGCCAATCACAGTTTCTCAGCCTAACCTACCTCACAGGGTTGTTGTCAGGATAAAATGAGGAGGGGGGGAACCATATACATGACTTGAGCTCCTTGCAGGAATGGTGGGATATTAATGAAATTAATAATATTTACAATTAACATCTTGAACAGCCCATGCATATATAAGATTACGGTAAGTCATATTTCAGCTAAAGCATGCCTTTGGTTATTTTCATTGGCTATACAGTCATACCTCTAGTTGCGTTAGGTTCATGTTGCGGATTTTCGGGTTGCGAACACGGCAAACGCCCTCTGTTGTGTCACACGCACACACAGAAGCGGCACTCTACATACTGACTTTTTGGGGTGCAAACGGCACCCAGGGACGGATCGCATCCATAAGTAGAGGTACCACAGTACTGGCACAGCAATGGCAAAACAAAGCCAGAAATGTGTTTTAAAAGTATGTATTAGCTAACATTTTAATGATCCAGAATCTCTCACGCATATGGAATTATGTAATCCACAAGCATGATGGTTGACACTTGGGCACCTTTAGCATGGCAGAAATTCAAAGAAAAGGCAAGATTAAATTCAGCCATTTCTAAAGCTAAGTGCACAAAAAGATGAATAAGAGTACATCATGATTCCTATTCTTAAAGCTTTGGCTAGGCAGAAGGTGGAAAATATAGTTATTTTTTTCTCCCTCCAAACTATCCCTTTTCCAATCATTGGGAGAGGGTTTTAAGATGAACAATCAAGATTTTGAAATAATCAAGATGTCTCACCTCCACAAGAATAGAGAATGTAGAAGGTGGATTAGTGGTAGAATCTAACAACACCTGCCATACAAGGACATGCGTTCCAAGACCGTGCACAAAATCTTACCATTTTTCTGCATGCCATGAGAATTATTCACAGTCTAAGGGAGGATTAAAAGGACCTCACTATGCAACTGAAGAAAACAGAAAATTTCCTTTTCTGCTTCCCTTGTTGCTCCCTCATTATGGCTATCAATAAGGCAAAGTACACATATTTTTAATTCAACCAGTAAGTTTCCCACTGCTGCTCCCTCAAACTTCACATGCATCAGTCAATATGTTAGTTTATACTCAGGTCACTGCTGCAGCTGTTATTGACAACAGGGTAAAAAAAAAAATCCTTGATTTCTGTGCCCTGTGTCCTCTCCCACCATGCCTCCCCGACCTACTAAGAGGGCACAAGTTTTAGGCTTCAAAAGCAGCAGCCTAACTATTTCTCAACCACAGGACCCCAGCAGGCCGATTACTTGAGAGGCCAATAACCCAAGTACTTAATTGGCCCAAAGATATTTTATTACTGTGTCAATTGAGCAGCAGTTGTGAAAGAGCAATGTGCAAAATAAGTAATGTTGATTTAGGCTTTCCTAGAATGCGGTGATGGCTGGAATGACGTTATTTCTGCATCTGCCAAAAGCACAGACTTCTAAATTTAATCAAGGGCTCTGAACATTTTTACAGAAGGCCAGTTCCTCTTTTCCTATGAATGGTTATTTTGAAAACAAAAAGTCTGAAAATATGCAAGCAAAATCTGATAAACAAGAACACTTTAAGAGGCAAAATGAGATAAATAAAAGTATGTTAAATATGTGCATGTGTAGAAAAGGAGAGCAAGACAGACAGAAAAATGCAAGTCTACTCAGAAGTGCATCCTACTGTGTTCAGTGGGATTTGCTTCGAAGTAAGCATGTACAGCATTGCAGCCCAAGTGAGCCATAATCAGACCCTTTTGATCAACAGGATGTGGGTTGATTTCCAAAGTTACATCTTTAATTGCAGCATAGTTTCACAACTTTAACAGCAGTGTAGCTTCAAAGTCTGGGCTCTCTCCCCACATCCATATCACATCAGATCAGTTGTGTCTGCATTCCAAAACCCAGCACTGGGGATTATTTCCACAAGGTGAAGGAAAACAATTTTTATACAAAGGCTTCCTCTTGGCTAACACACTCATTTGCATACATAATTATAATATCCCCCCCCCCAGAATTTTTAACTCCTAATGAAAGCAAAACATCTTAAGAGTCTTCAGTTTATATAATGGCAAGTGCTACCGCAAGAGAATAGATCAACAGTACTAGTGAAGACACATTTATTGCTATTTACATAGGATTATAAAAGTATGCCTGGTAGTATTTATCCTACTTATTTTGATGTCTCTGGGGTCATGTAAAACCAGCATGAAAAGGCAAAATTAAAAGCACAAGCCTCCAACCTTTGTACATATAATAGTCACACATGTGAAACACTTCTATCATTATAAAGTGGAAACCAAAATAAGAGACATAACCCCCACTCTTCAGTATCTAATGCTGACTTGTGCCACAATCTTGTACACCTCAGTCTACCTCACCACCCCAGTTCTATACAGATATGATCTCCACCTGCAAGCATATATTTAAAACAAAAACATTTCAGTTGCCCTGACCATGACTATCATCTATACATACATACTTGAACTAAACGGAATTTCTATCTGAGCTAGACATGAACCGGATTGGCTGTAAATTAACCGGGGGTTGGGGGGGGGCTTGAGTATGGGGGGGGGTTCTTGAGTATAGATAGTCTTAAAATCTCCCAGAGAGAGATAGTAACAACAGCAAAAATACTAGACCCATTACACAGAGTCTGCTAGAGAAAGTAAAACAGAAAGCGGGTAGGCAGGAAGGTGATTAAGGGTTTAAGGCGAAGAGAAAGAAAAATAACTTGGAGACAAAATTAAACTAAGAGCTTCGGGGGGAGGGGGGAGTCTAGAATACCTCCTTCCAAAACCAGGTCTTTCAACTGAGCATCCTTCAGTGTTGTACTGTTAAGCTGGTCAGTGGACATAATCGTGTCCTCCTCCGCTGGGAAAGGAGCGCGTCGGGCATCGCCTTGGGCTCCCTGCAGCAGCCAGGCAGCGTCGTCGCGAGTCTCCCAGTCGCCCAGGCGGGTGGGTGGGGGGTTGGGCTGGCCGCGTCTCTCCCTCGGCAGGCAGGCGAAAGCGGCCGGCGCTCCTAGACACAACTCCGTCGGGGCGGCTCAACCCGCAAGCGGAGGCGCGCGCCGCCCGACAAGGGCCCGCAGAAGAGCGCACGAGCGCCGCGAAGCGGGGGACTCTTCTCCGAGGCCTCTCATGCTTCCCGGCCCCAGGCGAAGCCCCTGGAGAGGCTCCTCCGGGCCTCGCTCCACGCCAGCGGCTGGGGCACAGAAGCACCCGCAGGGAAAAACACGGAAGGGGGCGACCCTGCGTAAAGGCGCATGGCGCAGCGCGCTCGGGGGTTTCTACAGCTGTTTTGTTTTATTTAAAAAAAGTTTAAAAAGGAAGGAAAATCATAGAAAAGGAAAACGTCGACCTATTAATCCCGACTGGTTGTCCTAATTCCATATATATATGGAGCTCCATATTACACATGAAAAAAAATTAATACGGCCTAATTAAAAAGCTGAAGGAGGAAGAAGGGGAGAATGAGGGCGAAGGGTGGGGAGAAAGCCAAGGAAGACGCCGCTCTTACCAACTTCCCGCACCCAACTGCTCCGCCGCCGCGGCTGCTGCGCTCTTTAAACCAAGCCCCATGGACACTGTGGAGGCTTCTAATTCTTCCGCATTTCTGCTCCAGCGCGACGTGCGTCACTCCGTGCCCAAAACGCGGCCCTCGCCGCCGCGGCCGCCGCTTGACTCAGGAGGCTCCGCTGGGCTCCCTCCCCCGCCCAGCCCAGGCTCCGGCTACTATTGGAAACGGCGCACACGTGCTCTCTCCAGCTGAGCTCTGCTCGCGGCGGCGGCACCACACAGACACACACACACACGGCGCTGCCAGTGCCGTCCCGTGTCACAAGAGCCTCCTTGTCTCGGTTTCCCCTCCGCCCGCCAGCCACACCGTACGTTGAGTACATGAAGGTTACAGTATGCCGCCCTCCCGCCTCAGTCCCCACCCTGATCTATAGGAAACGCCGGTATGGAGATGAGCAGGGCCTGGAGGCTAATCTTCCCTCGGTGTGGTACGCGCACTGCCAACTCTTGACGCAGGCATCTGCCTCCAAGGCTCTGTCAAGTGAAATACTTAGTGGGGCGGCGAGGGGGGGGGGGAGCGTGCCTGTGTGTTATCAACGGGATTAGGCTTAATGGGTCTACACCGCGGTAAAAATGTTCCAGCTGATTCTCCTCTAGAAAAGGAGGTGTTTGCATGGATGTGGGTGTTTTAACACATGGCGCTCAGTTTGTAAATTCTGGTCACAATTCAGCTATTTCCACATGTAGCTAAGATTCTTCTCCTTTCCTTTTCCCACAACTCTAATCCAAATGAAAAACCAACACTGAAAAAAATGCATACATTTTTTCAAATAGCTTTCTTCCACATCCTGTTTTGCAATATGGTGCATTGTACCAAATCAAAGAAAATGGGTTAGAACCATGATAGCCCTGGATTCAAATTCCTGCTCAAACCCAGCAGCTACACAGGAGTTGTATGATTTATTTTTTTTATGAAGAATCCAGTGATGTCTACATGGTCTTCAGCTCCTAGCAGAAAGGACAGGATGCAAAGTGATGAGCAAACACTGACAAGTGGAAAATAACAAGACAACCCCTGTGTATAGTCACCTCCAGACTTTAACTATTTTGCAGGAAATAGTTGCATGCTGTATCAGAATACTTGCATATCAGAAATGTAGATGCAATTAAATTGGGGATTAAAGTGCTTTGGCAAAAAAAAAATTCCTTTTTTTTTTACGAAAAGGAACTTTATGCAGTTAAAAAAGTGACAAGGAAATACACTAAAAACTGTGGGATAATGATAGATGGGAAGGTGTATAATCTGCTCACAAACTGGGATAAATGTTCATTGTTATTTAATCTCTGCAAATAAATCAGAACAAATGCTCAATAAATAGTGAACACCATATAATCTTGGCATAAGCTTTGTGCAAGCACATCAGGACGAATGTTCAATGAACAGATAATCTAGAGGTGCCTAATATCTACTCAGAAGAAAGACCCATTAGGTTCAGTGACACTTACTCTCAAGTAAACTGTACTGCTTGCAGCCTGAAAGGCATTCTTAGGGCCTTTCTAAACCTTTTTACTAGCCAAAGCCAGACGATATTCAGAAGCACTGTATGCCAAAATGCCACATTAAGAAGAAACATTTAGGGAGCTGGTGGTGGTGGCTTTTTAGAAATGCCCTTACTTAAGACGGCAAGTTTAAGCTCTGGGTTACTGGTACACGAGTACTTCCATGGTGGAAGCCCAAGCCCTCGTGTTTTTTAGATGGTACATTACTGAAAGAGAGGAAATGCATCACCCAAAAGGGGAAAATATTTACATGAAACTTGCACATGCTAGCCTAATTTCTGCATATACCGGCAACGACTTATTTACACGCATCCAACTGACAAGCAACCCCGCACATGTGCATCACGGTAATATGGCCAGAAAAGGGGGTGTGCACACTGCCGTCACACGCAATGACCCAGAATGCAAAACACACACCCCAAGTTGGGGCTTGTGTGTACTTTAAATGCAAATTTAGAAACAATCAGTATTGGTTTAAATAGATGTATAATCTTAGCATAGTGGGAAAACCTGTGCCCGGTGGCTGCTCAGTCTGCTGGCCAGGTGCTAATTGATGATGGGCAACTTCAAGACCCATCCTCTTCTTTCTTAGTATTATTCATCTTTGCATCAGAGTGGTACCAGACAGCTCTTCAAAGAGAGGGCTCTCCTCTATAAAACAGGCCATCCTAGGCAAGTATTTTATGTACTGAATTTATTCATATCCCTCCCTCCCTGCCAAAGGAGTCTAGTTGCATTCTTGCTCTGAGTCAGGAACACAAAATATCTACTTCAAAAAGCAGAAGACGGTTAGTGAGCCCTAGACACATCATGCAAGTAGCACCCAATGTGTCTGCCTCAAAAGAGACAGAAAAAATCCATGTGCAGGCAGGGCATGGGAATATCCAAAATGAAAATACTGAAGCAGCTACCAGGTACTGTACAACTTGAGTGACAGAAAAAAAAACTGGATATAGGAAACAACATATCAAAAGCAAATCCTCTACCAGACGTATGTATTAATGCTGAGCTCCTTACACAATACTGGATGCTGACAGAAAGTTATGACTTCTAGGCAGGACAGGACAGTACCAAGAACATTTCACCATGCATGGTTTTCTAAATATTATCCTTGGTTAGCACACTGTGCTGTTCTGAAAGGACCTACATTTGACATTTTATTTCCCAGCCAGTAGCATGAGGCGGACAGGGCATATTCATTGGCAAATTTGTTCCAAGTACAAAGACTTTGGTGAACCTGCAAGAGATAACTCACAAAGTAGAGGGTACAGTGTTTCCTATGAAGACTACCTTTCTAGGCTTCTAGGTTTCTTTCTGCCATGAAAAGACAAAGGGTTTTGTTTGAATGGCAACTTCATAAGTCATATGCAAGAGCTAGAGAAAAATAAACAAAATCTGAACTCTATAATATCAGCCAATGTGTACTGTGGGTGACACGACCTTGCTTTTTGTTGTAAGACTGGTACTACAGGTAACATGGTAGGCCTTTGGCAGTTTTGTGTTAAGGCAGGGAATTTTTTTTTAATGGAAATTGGGTCAGACAAGTACACACCTGCAAGAATGCAGAATGAATTAATAAAGTTGTGTGGCCAAATTTTGAGGGAAGACACAGTTGTGAAGGCTAACACTTTCATGACATTTTTAATTTTAGTAGATGAAAGAACAGATATTTCTGGAATAGAACAACTGTCTATAGGTGTTGTGAAAGAAATTGATAGGAATGCATCTGTACATGAGGAATTCCTGGGGTTTATTTCAATGTAAAACCAAACTGCAGTAGGCATAACCAACACAGTTTTATCTGCTGATTTTGGAATAGATCTCAATAAGTTAGTTGGACAAGGATACGACAGTCATTCAACCATGGCAGGAAAATAAGATGGGGTTCTAGCACAAAACTATCCTCAGGCAGCCTTTGTCCACTGCTCATCCCATAGACATCATCTTACTGTAAATGAACTAAACAGTGTAAGTGATGTGGGCAATGCTGTTGGCATAATTAAAACCATTATGAAAATTTTCCATGGGAGCATCCACAGATGACATCTAATACCCAAACTACCAATGCTATGTGAAACATGGAGTCAGAAATCAAGAGTATCTCTTCACATGCAGACAGTTACCCAAATAGCACAACTTAAGCAATTAGCAGGATCTAGCAACACCAAGAAAAAACAAATTTCATGCCAGTATGTATGTATTTATCAAATTTATATACCTGCCTTTCATCCAAAGATAACAGGGTGGTTCATAATATAAACTTTTATCATAGACATCAACTTTTACTGTTTGTCTTGTGATTGTAAGCAAAGATTCTTCAATGCCAGAACCAGTCACCCAAGCACTGGAATCTGTAAAGTTAGGTACAATTGAAATGAAAGCACATATACAAAAGTTGCTGGGAATAATTTAACAGCACAGGGAAGCTAGTGGGAGACCATTAGCATAATAGAGGACAAGAAACTGGCAGATGAAGTGGCTGTAGAATTCAAAGCACCTAAACAAGACAAGCCAGTCCCCTAACCAATCCACAGAAGAGTTATACCAGTGGCCCATCTACATTCCCAACCTGGATTCAGTGATTACCTCAGCAAGGGATTGTTTTAGTCATGAAAACTAGCCTGCTTACAGTTTACTGAAACTACATCCATCTCAGATGTACCACACTAAAGGAAAACTTAAAAACTTGCAAGTCCATGTCAATTTCATTCAGGAACTGTACAAATTTGAAAGCTTTAGGGATGAATCCATCACTTGGTATGACTTGTAGGGAGAAGGAAATACACCCATCATCTTGTGACTTATGCAATATGAGCCTTACTGAACCACTGGACCACACCCAACTTGCTCTGCTATTAAAATGGCCATCCCCACAGCACTTTCCCTACCAGTTACAACATGCACAGCTGAACGATTCTTTAGCACTTGGGGCAGAGTGCTGACACAGCTACATTCCACAATGAGTGAAGATCAATTGTCTGGCTTGTTGGGTGTCCATAAGAGAAAAGTTGAAGAATTATCCCAAGGAGAAATTTATATTGACCATTTTGGTGAAGACCCTCCAATACTCCAGCCCTCCAGATGTTTTGGAACTACAACTCCCATCATCCCTAGCTAACAGGACCAGTGGTCAGGGATGATGGGAATCAAAACATCTGGAGGGCCGAGTTTGCCTATGCCTGCTCTATTATTACTAAATGTATAAAGTTAGTAGTTCTGAAATGTATAATCCCATACAATAAAGTAAACCGCCATTGTTTCTTGTTACTTCTCTTCAGCACCGTGTAATGATTTGTGGGATTTATCACAAGTCAACAATGTGTAGTCACAAATTATAGACCTTGCCCCCTCTGGGAAAAAAATTCTGAGGACACCCTTGGGAGAGAAAGTGTAGTGGGAGTGGCTTGGATGGATGGGAAGGACTTGTATCCCCACCCACCCCCCATTCTTGGAAGACATGAAGTCCATCACCATCACAGCATGGAATTGGGCTGCACTAGGCCTGTGATGAGCAGGGTGACAGCATAGATCCTATAGGATAAAATAAATTAGGAGGAGGGGGATCCACTGAAAATTGGCAGGCAATGCAAGCAATGATACCATTTACACTACAGTGGTACACTACGGGTTAAGTACTTAATTCGTTCCAGAGGTCTGTTCTTAACCTGAAACTGTTCTTAACCTGAAGCACCACTTTAGCTAATGGGGCCTCCTGCTGCCACCACGCCGCTGGAGCCCGATTTCTGTTCTTATCCTGAAGCAA